AGGTATCATTAGCATTAAGCGCATCATAGGAGGGTGATCTGTGTAGTACCATTGTGTCGATCTTGATACGAATGTTTGGGGAAGACGTCAGAGTTCAAAGCTGCCTGGCTTTGTGCTTCATGAGGGGCATTGAGATTCAGATTGGCGGGGGCCAACCGCGGCGCAGCTCAGCGCGACATCACGTGAGAGCGCGTAGAGGAGGGACAGAGTCAGGACTTGAACGCTGTCACTCCATCGAGATGTATGGATATCCTGGCTTAAGATGGAGGGGGGAAATGCTGTCCTATAAGAACTAAACTATCGATACGTCATCTTGAAGGATTTGTGACAGCTCAGCAGCAAGATCCAGGAACGAGAGCAAGGCATGAAGTGACAGCTTCCAGAAGCCGAATGCTACCCTGGAACATGCACTGGAAATGCCCGGATGTCGAAAGAATCATCAGGCTGACTATGGGGCCCTCTCTGCCATTGACCACCGAGGATATAAGTCACTCACTGAGAGCTGGCCTACTCCATAGAGTTTGTTTTGGAGTTTTGAAACCGGCCATTTGTCTCTTAAATATGTATTCTGAAATCTGCAGACTGTTGCATTTTGAGCTTCATGTGAAGGAAGACAGACCGTGCGTGAAAACTGTACTAATGCATGAGCGCACTGTCCATCATGACATGAGCCTCAAGTTCGCATCAGGCAAGCATCCCGTCGAAGCGAAGTCGTTTCAATTACATATTCAAATCCCACGTTCCAAGAACATATCTCTATCGGGCCTTCGCCTGTCATCTTTTTATTACCAACTCCAACCACAAGGGCAACCCCTCTTCTTCATTACCGACTCCAAGCGGCGCCAAAAAAAGCAGCATCCACCGCCGGGATTGCAAACTCCGGCTGGTCTTTCGTTCTCCGCATCCCACCACCTCGACGAGACTCCACTAGCCGCAGAGCCTCGCGACAATCTCGGCCTTCTCTGAAAACAGGAGCAACAGCCTGGAAACAAGATATTCCCAGTCCAGTCTTCACCACAATGGCCGCCGTTCCGTCGCCGTCGCCGTCACCCCGGCCCGGCGCCCCAATGCCAATGCCCTCAGATCTAACATTCCCCCAGGACACGAACCCGCGCCTGTCCATCGCGACGCCAGTGCGGCTCATGCTGGGGACAATCTCGTCAGCAGTCGTGGGCTTCTCGCTTGGTGCGACGCAGGGCGGACAGATGGCGCAGCTGCGGTTCCGGGCGGAGCATGCGCACAAGATGCCCGACACGACGACAGGGTGGTACTTCTACCACAAGAGCAAGAATTACCACGCCATGCAGGGTGGCATACGAGAGGGCTTCCGCATGGGTCTCAAGACGGGCTTCTGGAGCTTCCTGGCCTTGTCGCTTGAGAGCACGGTCGATCGATATCGCGGGGCGAGCGACATGTTTTCTACGACGATAGCTACGCTTACAGTCGCCGGCGCGTTTTCTCTTTGGCGTAAGTGGTCAATTCTTTCCTTTCCTTCTCTTTAGGTTATCTCTTTAGACCTCGGCTTGACTAAGGGAAACGGTATTGCGCAAAACCCCATATGGGGAATGCATGGCGTTTTGGGAGCTTTGATGATGGAAAGCGACGGGTAGATATTGCAAGCATTGCATGATGTGGAGCAGGGGTTTTTTCTTTTACATTACATTTGCTTTACCTTGCTTTGCAGGCGGTAGAAAGAGATGAGCTAACAAGCGCCGATATTCGGCGTGTGCATCTAGATCGCCTGTCACTCACAACCGCCGCCCGGACCGCGCGATATGGGTTGTTGTTTGGCCTTGCGTACGGTGGGATTCAAGATGTGCTTGGCTTAGCCCGAGGCAGACCGATCGGGTATGTCGAGTTCTTGCGAGGTCGGAGGTCAAATGTAAGGCAGGAAGATGATGCTCGTCCAGCATTGTGATGTAATTGGGTTCTTCTATGTACAATATATAAAATGTAGATATATCACGACTTGGTCAATGGTTCATAACTTAACTCATCGCACTGACCAGAGAGCAACACAGGGGAATAAACAAGATCAATTCAGAGATAAAAAATATGCTAGTGTCGTTTGCTATCGGGGCCCTCCGAATTTAGGACTCTCTAGGTAAACGCCTCTCCCGTAGACCAGCTCAGGGCCAGCGGCTTTGGTCGGTCATTTATGGAGACATCATCGATAAGCAAACGCTGCAGAAGGCTTCTAGCGAGATCGAATATTTCTCTCTTTTTTGGTTCCAGCCATTGAGATACGGTAGCAGAGCCCCATTCGTCATCCAGAGGATGGATTGGATGTCGGCATATCTTATCCATATCGCCTTATCTAAGGTACAAAAAGTACCGAATGGCAAACAACACATCGTCATCGTCAGCCCCGTGGCACATCATTGACCAACAATGGAGGTTGGCTGTGAAAGTTAGAGACACGGACACATCGTCATCAAAACAAGTCACAAGACGTCTCAGGTCTCAGCACAAGCCAACCCAACACTGACTGTCAATCTCAAAGGAGTTAAGAGAATGCTGGTGATGCATCTCCAAGGTTTCCCCACAATGCCCTGTGCTTGCTAGCTTTGCCAGTGTCACCAATTACATAACACGTATTTACTGGGATCGCGGCCTGTTGCGGCAATCACTGAACCAAATCCCCAGCTTCAACTAATCTCCCCAATTATCGTGGGCTTGCACCCCCCCACGCCCCTCAACGGCTACATTCGGCCATCATGGTGATGCTGAAGCTAAAATAGGCCACGTGACGGCTGATAAGCTCCGTACCGCTGGGTCCCTTTTCTTTTTTTCCCTTCGCCTGCAGTCCATTGACCATTCTGATAGTCACGGGCCGGTCTGGCTCGGCCTCTGCGGAGGGACGGGGGGGCATAGCGTAAACATGACCATGAATGACTAGCTCAACTGGAGCAAGCTGGAGATCAATGGCAAAGAATTTGTTCTTTTTTCTGCTGTGGAATGGGGGAAGGCTAAACAAACAGGGCAAGGGAGATATGGACTATCATTATCGGGCTGGAGATAGCGCCACCTCCCTCACACGCCCCAGCCCAGGCACAGACCAGAGTCACCAAGCACCGCACTCAACCGACACTGATAGTCACTGCCCTGAGATAGATATATTAAGCTCCCTGCCACCCGTTTGCCCATTTCACAAACTGAACCAGATAGACCCTAACTTGACTTATCTTGCATCATCGCTCCGTAAACCTAACACCAACATCAACACAATCACCATCTGGATCCCTCCATACTGATCCAGCATCTCCATCCAACTACCAACTTAGGACCTTCAACTCAACACCACACACACATCTCATATAATGAGCTCGGCCCTTCGGCGAGGGACTGCCCAGCCCCTTCGCTGGGCGACTGCTTCCAACGCAATCACCATCAACACACTCCGACCATGCCTCACCATCACAAAGACCAACATGGTCGCCCGCCGTCACATCCACTCCTCTGAGCGACGCACAAACACCATCGTCGAGCAGCAGCAGATCCCCGATCCTCTGCCTCCAATCGCTCCCAGCAAGGCGCCTCTCTCCGTTCTTCCTCTCATCATGATTCTCCGATCTCTCGCCACCATGACCGTCTCCTCCTCGCCTCTGCTCCTACCTCCCTCTCTGCACGTCATGGGCATTCTGGCCAACACCACCAACCCTCTACTCAACCCCGACAAGAACCCTCTTCTGCGATATTTCCTCAAGAAGACTTTTTACGCCCAGTTCTGCGCAGGCGAGAAGTCACCCGAGATCAAGAAGACTATTGATGGACTCAAGAACATTGGTTTCACTGGTGTTATTCTGAACTACGCCAAGGAGGTTGTCCTCACCAAGGATGAGGGCGAGGGTCTGAAGAATGGTGCCATGGAGACCGACGAGTGCATTCAGAACGAGATTCTTCCCTGGGCCCGAGGCACTCTCGAGACTGTCCGACTTGCTGAGCCTGGTGACTTTGTCGCCCTCAAGTTTACTGGCGCCGGAAGCATCGCTCTCTACCAGCTCAAGGATCGTCTTCCTCCCAGCCCCGCCATGTACAAGGCTATCGACTCAATCTGCCAGCTTGCCCACGAGCGAGGTGTCCGCCTCCTCTTCGACGCCGAGCAGGACATGCTCCAGGACGGCATTGACGACTGGACTCTCGAGTTCACCCGCAAGTACAACAAGGGACTTGGCGAGGCTGTTATCTTTGGTACCTACCAAGCCTACAAGAAGAAGTGCCCCGAGGTTCTCTCCAACCACCTGAAGCTCGCTCAAGTCGAGAACTTTGCTCTCGGTGTCAAGCTTGTCCGTGGCGCTTATCTCAACTCTGACCCCCGCGAGCTCTTCCACGACACCAAGGAGGAGACCGACGCCTGCTTCGACTCCCTCGCTGCCAGCGTCCTCACCCGCGAGTGGAACATTGACGTCAAGGGTTCCGGCAAGTACCCCGCTGCCAGCCTTGTCGTCGCCTCTCACAACGCCGAGTCCGTGCGACGAAGCCGTGCCATCATGGAGGCCGGCCGAGCCAAGTCCGACATTGCTTTTGCTCAACTCCAGGGCATGGCTGACGAGGTCAGCTGTGAGCTCGTCGAAGCCGGCCAGTCTGACAAGACCAAGAGTCTGCCCGCCTACAAGTACCTCGTCTGGGGAACCACTGGCGAGTGCATGAAGTACCTCCTCCGACGCGCACACGAGAACAAGGATGCCGTCCAGCGAACCAGGGGCAGCCGGGATGCTCTCTGGGCTGAGCTTGTCCGACGATGCAAGAGCGCCGTCGGCTTGGCTTAAAGAAGTAAAAAAGAACAGAAATTAAAAAAGGTAAAAGGGAAGAGAAAAGAACTTGATATCAATGTCTTTATGTTTCTTTTGTTTTGCATCATGGGTAGCGATCAGGAGTCCAGGGCGTCTAGCATCTCAATATCCGAGATAGATCAAGCATAGATGAAGAAATGACTTACGTTTTAGTCTTTAACGATGATTATATGATTGACTGTGAAGCTTTTGACTTGGTATTGTGCTTCAGACACCCCTTAGAGCCATTGCGCCGATGACGAGTGACTCCATCTCCTTCTGCTTGACCTTTTCATCTTTAATATCGTCTAACCACTTGAGTCCGTTCAACTTGTAGTACTTGCGCACCTTTGGTACGTCAGTGGTGGTGGAGATTTGGTCATCTGTGATGGATAAAGCCTCTCCTTCAATATTGGTCTTGAGATGCTCCCAGATCTGGTCATGCGTCAAGGGCTCAGCACCATCATCTCCAGGGAATGTGACCTTGACAACGATGAGGTCTTTGGTAGAAGGAGAGATACCATATCGACGATAGGCATCAGCAATCTGAGCATGGAATGTCAGCCTCAAACGAAGACATGTCGGAACAAGGGGTCACATTACGTTATTAGAAGAACTCATGGCACAGACAATCTCGGAGTGAACGTTTGGAGTCCTGAGAGCGCCATTCACAGCCGTCGACGTAGCCTTGAAGACAGCGGATAATAATTGAAGCCGCGAGACAACCTGGTGATGATGGTCCGTATTAATGGAAAATGCCCTATACCCAAGTCGGGTACTCCGCGGCGGAACTCACCACTGAGGCATCGATGAAGGCGTACTCGAACTGGGGGTTCCGAGCAAGCAGCTGCTGGTGCAAAAAGGCCGCATTCTGTACGTCACGGAACAGGGCAACGTAGACCTTGTGCGAGTTTGGCAGGTGTTCGAGAGAGACTATTTCGAGAGCCATTGTTGCTTTTGCTTTTGCTTTGCTCTGCTGACCAGGGCCTGGAAGCCGATAGAGCCGTTGTAGTTGGCTTGGCAGTGAGCTCTTGGCAGTTGGATTTAGGAAGGCAACACAAAAGTTCGCTTGAGGAGAATCTGCTGATTTTCGTAACTTAATTTTCTCTTAGGGACAAGGTAGTGCGTAACGTTGTGATGGTGGTTTGAGCAGTTTCGATCTTGGGTTTAGTTTAGTGTGGAGGGGTAAAAAAGAGTGAGATCTAGGGATGGGCTGTGCAATTGGTACAGCAGCCCGCGGACAGCGGGGCACGTCTACACGTCAAGTCAAGGGTCGTCACATGTTTGCTATACTGTGTTCGTACTGTATATTCCATCTCATGCGAGCTCGTCTTTGACACTACGATAACTCAATTTTGATGCTGTAACACGTCACGAAGTGAGGAGAAGCCCGACCTCAGTATTCCACGTACAGAGCATGTTGGGATAATATCTGTGACCATTCATCAATTCCAATGGCTAAACGTTTTCCACGTTATTCAGTAACAAAGTCAAGACTCAATCGCCTCATCCGTTTCACCCACGTTGTTCAAATGATCGTGGCCATCTCCCACCGTTGAGTTCTCGTAATATCTCCGATACAAGGCCGGCGCCACCATCATCAAGGCTGACAGACATATGCCGTCCGTAGCGGGAACGGGATCGTCAACATCTTGGCTGCTCCAACCTGAGAGGCTGACAGACAGTGAGTGAAGGCTGAAAGCATTGAACTGATCAGCAAGGCACCGACATAACCAGAAAGTCAATCAAAAGAACCACTAAGATAAACAGTTCTGGCCTGGCTTGGTCTTGGCTCTTCGGTACCGGCAGTAGGGTTGCATTTCACATCAATGGTTTCATTCGTTAGACAGGTTGCATGCAAATCATAATGATACGAGTTTCCCAGGAGCTGACTTTGCCCAGACTTGGTGTTTCCTCTAGGCTCCGCTCATCAGCTCGTTTTCCTTTGACACTTTGCCCTCGGTGACGAATCGTCATGGTCGAATTGCTTACGGTACCGCCGAGGTCGACCTTGTCTCTTTCAGCCACAGCATCATTGCGCTTGTACGGCATCTTCTCCCAAGAAATCTCGTGGCTTGCCCAGAAAAAGACCACGGTCTAGACGGCCACGGTGGAGTCGTCTCCCCTTGCAGCGCCTCGTTGGCTCTCTGGTTCCTGTGGGAAACTCTGGCCTGGTAGCCTGGCCTGGCCCTGTGAGTGTGTAGATCCGATGTCATACTCTGGGCTACGGAGAATTCATCCAACACTCACGTTGTCGTGGCTGCCCTCTCCCAGTCTGCCGGTATCCTTCTAGAAGGACTCTCCGTTCCTCAAACACTGACGATATCTCGTAACCGGGTGAGTTATCTTCCATATTTGATAGAGAGAACCTGTCTGTGGTTTTCCTCAGCGAGATACGGGCCTTCCGTGCAGAGAGAGGTTGACGATGGGAACAATTCTGTTGAACGCCAACTCCGGGACAGATCTGTTACTACTGTAAGGTTGGTAAGGTTGGTGTAGGTATCTATTTTAACTCGCCAAGCTAAGATTGAACTAAGGCTGGATGGATGGTTACAACCTCAAGACATCCACCAGATCTCTCTGCTTATAAGACCTCGATGTTCACCAGCCTTATCCCTGCTTGATCCATCATACAATAACTGTGCATACTTTACCATATACATACAATTGCCTTGATGGTTCGAGTTCTTCAATATACACACACAGAAGAACAGGAGATTTTCTACAGCCACTTAAGAGTCTAGACCATTTCTTCCGCAGATCACAAGCAAATCATCTCATCTGTCCCCCCCCTCCCTCTCGTCCCGGCTCATATCCAGCTCCGCTCCTCGTCAGTCTTCACGTCACATACGTCCACTGGGGTTCGTCGAGGCCTACATCTGCGCCTCCACCCAGTGTCGAGTCCCCCATACCCGGAAGGCCGCTAATGCACAGCGCATTCCCCGCTAAGCCCATCCCCTGTACAGTGTCATTCTCAGTGCCGGCAGCACCAGCGGCACCCCAAGCACCAGCCCCAAGCCCAAGCTCGAGGCCTCGTTCCCAGACCAGTATGATGGAGGCCATATCCCAGCGCAACTTCAATTCCTCCATCGCCAACTTTTCAACTCCCACGTCGCTGTCGTTGACGTCGCAGCCAGGCCCAGGTCCTCTCTACTGGCCCTTCGACGCCCGATCTTACCCTGCCCTCGCCTGGGCTCCTGATACATTCGCCTACAGCTGCAATCCTCCCTACGCCGCTGTAAAGGCCCCTGCGACTGCGACTTCAACAAAACCCACTGGGCGCCGCCCGCGCCAGCCTGCCGCGATATCTCGTTGCACGGCCAGGACAAAGGCCAGCACCGCCTCCTGCACGAGCGCCAGCAACAAGAGCGCTTCGTCTTCTGCTACTTCTTCCGCGAGATCTTCACCTGCTTCGTCGAGGGGCATCTCCCCGCGCATCAAGTCCAAGATGCCAGGACGACCTCCCAAGCGGGCTGCTAGCAATGGCGAAGATGATGGCACGATTCAAGCTCCCGGCAAAGTCAAGCTTCCCAGGCTAGAACGTGGCCCAGACGACTTCTCCAGCGTGGTCAAGAACAGACTACAGTCTTATACACGCACTGGTCAAGCTTGCGACCGATGCAAGGTATGTCATAAGTAAATCTCGGGTCATGCTCTCACAACATGCTAACCGCGCGAAAATTACAGGTTCGAAAGATCCGATGCGATGCACTCCCAGAAGGCTGCTCCCACTGCACCAACCAAAACCTTGAATGCTATGTCACAGATCGCGTGACAGGGCGCACAGAGCGAAGAGGATACATGCAGGAGCTGGAGAGGGAAAAGAGCGACATGCTCTCCCATATCCGCGATCTTGAGAAGCTCCTCGACAACAAGGGCGTCGAAGTCAAGCCCTGGGAGTGGTCACCTTATGCACAGTGCCCCTCCGAATCAAACTTTGATGACATGGGCAACCCAATTCCTGACCCCAAGACCGGCGAAACATGGTCTCAAGTCGGCAGCGCATTGTTCAAAGACTCTGGATCAGCCCCTAGCCTGTCTCCCAGCTTCCCTCGCACATTAGAGTCCCGCGCTCATGACAACCATCTTGGTGTTGGAATGGACAGTGCTCCTCTCAGTTCAATCGGGGGTACGCGACTGTCAATTCTAGGGATGACAGTCGACCTCGCGTCCTTTGAGCCACGAGATGCGGAGGAGCCTCCAGTCGATGGCAAGGTGGCGCCGTCGTACAACAAGTCCCCGCAATCTTTCCTCCAATCCATCATGAGAGTCAATCCTCCGATGGAGGCTGAGATGCCTTCTCGAGAAGATGCCTTCACCTGGGCCGAATGGTACTTCATGACCTTCTCCGCTTTCCTTCCAGTCCTCCATAAGCCCTCTTTCATGCGATTGGTAAGTGTTGTCTTACCCTTTTCTTAAGCTTAATCACTAACAGCCATACAGTTGACCCGCATGTACGATGAACCTAATTTTGAGCCTTCGGTGGCGGAGCTTGTTACTGTGCACATGGTTTTCGCCATCATTTGCTTCCAGTATGGCACAAGAAACTGGCAACAGGTTGACCAGCGCGCTCAAATGAATGAGCGATCCAACAGCCACTACCATTTCGCCCTCAGCAAGTTCTTTGAGTTGACATGCACACGAGACCTGGCTTCGGTCCAGGCCATGGCCATGGTGGTCAAGCATACCAGAGCTTTCCCAAAGCCCGGTGTTGTGTCAATCGTCGCCAACCTTGCTCTTCAACGCGCACTCGAATTGAATCTGCACCGAGAGTCAAGAAAGCCAGGCGAGCCCAACAATCTCCAACATGAGCTTCGCAAGAGAGCTTTCTGGGTCATCATGACTGTCTACATCGCTGTTACCGGGCGTCGTGGCCGGCCGATGCCTATCACCGTTGAGGAATTCGACGTCGGCTTTCCCGAGCCTATCGCTGATGAGCTCCTTTCAGATGAAGGCGTCGACACGTCCCGTGACATTCCTTGCCCTTACTGGCCAGGTATTGTGAGCTTCAAGATCATTCCCATCTACATGGAACTGTACTCCAACATTTACAGTGTTCGACGGGATGCGCGAAACTATGTCAGCATCGTCAGGGCGCTTGAGGCTCAGATCAAGAAGTGGGAGGACGAGCTCCCCGGCCACATGGTGATTGACCATGCTGAGCAGACCGAGCAAACCCGTCTTGCAGCTGTCTACGCCAAGACATGGGCGCTTGAGTTTCGTCTTTGCCTGCGACATCCTTCAGTGGCCATGACCAGTGACAAGGCCATGATGGCTGAGAACATGGCCATCTGCGAGGATGTCTCACGCCAAATGCTTCACTGTCAAATGGAGATCCAGAAGTGCAAGTGCCTTGATACGACATGGTACCAGACTTCGATGTACACCGCTGGCACCTTTACCATGCTGGCTGCCATGTGGGAGAGGCGTTTCGAAACGACTCCAGAGGCCATTGCCACATTGCGGGAGGAGATGAACGGTTGGATCGGCATTCTTGAGGAAGCCGGCTCTCTTCTCGGTAAGTTCCAGCCCCTAGTTTGCAAATCAGTCAGCCCTAACAATACGACAGGCTCGGATACCAGCATTGCCAATGAGATTGGAAACATCATTGACCGCACGATTGCGTGGATTGACCATGATATGCGCAACAAGGAGACAAAGAGTGCTCAGCCTTCTGCCACACTGGAGGTCAAACAGGAGCCAGCTCCAAGTTACCCATCTTCTCAGGTCCAGTCCGCACCCACCAGTGGAGGGGCTCAAAGTGAAGTCCCATCTACCAAAAGCTACTTTCCCGAGTCCGACCTGAACGGCCAGACTCCTTACCCAACACTCGCCTACAATGATCACTCACAGAACAACATGGCACCTCCAGCTTATGACACTGGAGCCATGTTCTACAATACTTCTGCATCAATCGCAACTACCACGTCGGCACTCCCGTCGTCTGTGGCGCAAGTGAACCCGATGCTCGCATTCTCACAGCCTCCCCACGTCGCGCCTCAGCCCGACATGATGTGGCAGAGCCGCGGAAACACCTGGCATGACTGGACATCCGCCATCGCTGATACGCAAGATCGCTTCAGCGCATCGACACTCTTGACGCTTGGAGACAATACACGAGATGCCTCGACAGGCGCGGGCGTCCCGGGCGTCACATCCAGCCCTTCGGCAAATGACATCAACAGCATTCAACAGGGAGGCCAGTGGCCGCTGATTATTTTTGACCAGGTGGCGCCAAATGGATCTTGATTTTGAGGGGGGAGCATTTACTGGGGCGTTTTGTAACTGAGGAGTTTTTGCAATGGGTAAGAATCGTGATGATTCAAAAAAGGCGCTTCAACAAAAAGGATTGATGAGTTATGTATTGATGGGGGTTGGATGGTAAAAAACATGCATCTTGGCATTGGACGATGAGTTTGGATGATGCTGGTTTAGCTTCTGCTATATACTATAAATATTTGCTTGGTCTTATAGACATACATAATCAAATGTATAATCACTACACACATCACACTTCACTAAGTACAATAATACTACACGTGAACTTTCGCTTTCAAGAGGGAACCTCTAAGTCATTCTAGTGATGGCAACGTCTAATATGTCTCGTCATTGATAAGTGGTGTTGAGGCATCCGCTCTTTTTAACCGGAGCTTCTCCGACGAAGCTACCCACTCTTTTTCGAGTCGCGTTCAGTTCTAAGCTCCACGTCCAAGATATTGCGATTCGACCATTATCAGGAACCTTTGTGCGCTCGAATTGATCGCGCATTATCCCTATCGACTCGTACGACATATCCGACATCAACAGAAAAATGGGCAAGAAACGGCGCAGTCACGCTGACATCGAGGAGGTCCTCAATCGACCTTGGTGCTACTACTGTACGAATCCTGCGGCTTGCGCTCTGATCACTCAATGCTAACATTCCTATCCCAGGCGAGCGTGATTTCGAAGATCTCAAGCTTCTCATCTCTCACCAGAAGGCAAAGCACTTCAAATGCGACCGCTGTGGTCGTCGTCTCAACACAGCAGGAGGTACGTCTACAATCATCCGAATTCCCACGAAAGCCGCGCTGACAGGCACAGGTCTCTCCGTGCACATGAACCAAGTCCACAAGGAAAACCTCACACAGGTCGAGAACGCGCTTCCCAGCAGACAGGGTCTTGAGGTGGAGATTTTTGGCATGGAGGGTATCCCCCAGGACATGCTCGACCAGCACCGCAACCGCATTCTACAGAACTTCCAGCAGGCGCAGAAGGATAGACAGATCGCGACGGGAAACCCGCTGCCGGGACAGGGACATGCACAGAAGAAGATCAAGACTGAGTCGCCGGATGAGCTGAAGCAGAGATTGGCTGAGTTTCGGAAGAGGAAGCAGGAGATTGCTGCCAATGGAGGTGTTGATCCCGCTGCGGCTGCGAATACCGAGACGCAACCGCAAGCTCCTTTCGTGAGTGTTTTACTTCTACGGTTCGTTTGGAATATGCTAATATCTGTAGAACGGCTCTTACCAGACCCCTCCCCAAGTATCCTTCGACCAACAACAAGGCTACCCCGTACAATCCCCCAACCCAGCCCAGCCCTACACCTTCTCCGCCAACAACCTCCCCGCACGTCCATCATCAGGTGCACTACCCGCGGCAGCTGGTCTACCCCAGCGACCGACACAAGGCGGATCGTGGAGCGGTGGTGCCGCTGGCGACGATATTGACCAGATGATCCGTATGGCCGAGGCGGGTATCAAGCCGGCAGCGACCAAGGCAGAGGAAGAGGGCGGTGACAAGAAGAAGAAGGAGAAGAAGGCGAAGATGTTCTACGATGATGCGGAGGTTAGTCCTGAGGAGAGGATGTCGATGCTGCCGCGGTATGCGTTTGTACCAGAGACTGTGAGTTAGGGGGGATGAATGCCGTCACTATCTTTTGTGAATTGGGAAGTTTTTGTTGCATGGTAGGCGTTAGGTTGTAAACTAAATGGTAAATTGATGGTGATTCTTTTACTGGGAGATCTGTTGCACTACTAATGCTGTGATGTTGGTGTTTAGCGATACCCTGGAAAGTATTCAGACTTCGACTTTGATCCCCGTGTCATATGTTTGTTTATTCTGTTTTGTTTTGACCCGTGGTATGCGTTGTAAACCCTGTTTGTTCTTGGATGTTGGTATTGTGATGGCCATATGAATGGGCCTTGTACGGAGTAAGTGGAGGCTGTAACACTACAAAAAGGACCTCGCAATGTTGGTTCACAGCAGCTGGAACGGGACAATGGTAATGAATACATCTCAATGAATGCACAAAACTCGAGTAGCTTTCATCAAATTGACTAAAGGAGTCACAGCTCAAATTGCCTCGTATCGTAGGCCATTGAAGAGAAAAGTGATCATGATACAGGGTAACATAAGGCAAGGACTGTAGCCGTTATTACCAAGGGTTTGCTAGCATCTCGAGCTTTGAGGTCAACAACAATAAAGCCACAAATGAGCCATCAACACCTGGCAAACGTCTCCATAACATGACTCAAATCCCATTGTTCAATAGCTTCTCCAGCCTCACCTCCAGGGGCCTAAAAAACACCCGCATGAATGCCACTTAGAGAACCCCTGATAAAAATGGAGCTAAGGCGTCACCACAGCAACACGTCCGAAAAAGGACGAAAAACAAACCAGACGTCACCTACAACCGTGCTCGGTAGCTCTGAATTGATTTCTCTACAACTATCGCCCGGCTCGTAGTCTACTACTGCTACTAACTAACGACAACAGGTACACAGAGCTATTCGTGTTTGTTTTTATTTTTTCGTTTTCTTGTTCGAGTTCATTTTCGAACATTGTTTCTATGATCATCTGCTCTGCATCGAGCGTGCCTTTCTTTTTAAGCTTTGTTTACTCTTAACGGCTTCACTGTCGATTGATACTGAGGTGGAAGAGCTCGGGACTGCACCAACGTCAAAAGTCAAGCGAAGAAGAATATCATGGCTGTCATGGGCGCTTCAGCTGCTGCTGGGCAGAATTCCATTACTGTTGCTGGTATGATGTGCGCTCGTGGGGGGCCATGCGGGAGCTGACCGTTATTACAGTTCGAGTTCGACCTTTTACGATTCGAGAGGCTGCGCAACTGTAGGCATCACGCCGATACTGTGGAGTAGGCTTGCTAACGGCGTGACAGACAAAAGAACGATGACGGAACCCTTTTCCTCGGCGATGGCTCCCTCGCCGCTGCGCCTACGCCAAAGCTGCACCAACGCGGCATTCGAAACGTTATCAAAGTTGTCGATGATCGTTGTTTGTACGCGCATCATCCCCGCTACAACAAACGCAAACGCAAACGCTGACCCAATACAGAGTCTTTGATCCTCCCGAGGACAGCCCCGTACAGAAATTCTCCCGCTCAGTCCTACCCTCATCGAAAAAGGTCAAAGATCAAGTCTTTGCTTTCGACCGAGTCTTCGACGAAAACACAACACAGTCCGATGTCTACGAAGGAACTACTCGAACCCTTCTCGATAGCGTACTCGATGGCTACAATGCGACAGTCTTCGCCTATGGCGCTACAGGTTGCGGAAAGACACATACTATTACTGGTACATCACAGCATCCCGGTATTATCTTCATGACCATGCAGGAGCTGTTTGAGAAAATTGAGGAGCGCAGCCAAGACAAGGTGACCGAGTTGAGTCTGAGCTACCTTGAGATTTACAACGAGACTATTCGTGATTTGTTGGTTCCTGGTGGGAGCAAGGGTGGATTGATGCTCAGGGAGGACAGCAATCAGGCTGTCACTGTGTCTGGATTGACGAGTCACCACCCCAAGGATGTCCAGGAGGTTATGGATATTATCGTCCAAGGAAACGAATACCGCACAGTTTCGCCTACCGAGGCCAACGCTACTTCTTCCCGATCACACGCCGTTCTTCAGATCAACGTCGCTCAAAAGGACCGATCAGCCGGTGCCAGCGAGCCTCACACAATGGCTACCCTCAGTATCATCGATCTTGCTGGTTCCGAACGAGCATCCGTCACCAAGAACCGCGGCGAGCGCCTTACTGAAGGTGCCAACATCAACAAATCCCTCCTTGCCCTTGGAAGCTGCATCAACGCCCTCTGCGACCGTCGACAGAAGCAGCACGTTCCCTACCGAAACAGCAAGCTTACCCGACTGCTCAAGTTCTCCCTCGGCGGCAACTGCAAGACTGTCATGATTGTCTGTGTATCACCATCAAGCGCCCATTTTGACGAGACACAGAACACCCTTCGATACGCCAACCGGGCCAAGAACATCCAGACCAAGGTGACGCGCAATGTCTTCAACGTCAACCGCCACGTCAAGGACTTCTTGGTTAAGATCGACGAACAGATGGCCTTGATCAACGAGCTCAAGGCCCAGCAGAAGGATGCTGAGGCTATGTTCTTCGCCAAGTTCCGAAAGCAATGCGACAAGCGAGATGCCATGGCACGCGAAGGGATTCAGCGATTGCGCATCGCCTACGAGAACTCTGCTCCTGAGCGTCAAGAGCGCATCACGAACATGAAGCGTCTCAAGGCTTTTGAGCGCCGCATTGGTATGCTGTCCGGATGGATTGCTGCCTTCGACGCGGTCTGCGATGAACGAGGTGATGAAGATGCGATGCCAGAGAACCTTGTCGCCATTCGAAAGACGGCTCAAGGCATCCTTGTTGAGTTGGAGAACAGCCGACACCATATACACCAGAAGCTGGAGAAGTCTGCATGGGACCGAGCCATCGACACAGCTCTATCGCACAGCTTGCAACAACTCCAAGGTACCGAGGGTGCTGACAACGGAGAAGCCGACAACTTGACCCGTGAAGCTGAGCTGATCAAGGCCAACTTCAATCGCGAGGCCTACCGGGAAGTCCTTGAGCAGGACAAGGCCGGCGATGCTGCCATGATCCAGATGCTCCTCACTGCGCAGTTCGACATTCTCTCATCACTTTCCGATACGCTCGGCATGGATGAGGAAGATGCCGTCGCTCATGCGAAGGAGACGATTAATCGTCTCCTCCAAACCGGCTTCACAGCTGCCGGTCAGGTCGTCAAGCCGGATGGCTCCATGCCCGTCGTCGAAGTCTTCTCGCCCAGCAAGCGAGGCACGCCCAAGCGCAAGAAGGCCATTGCGATGCACATTAAGCCTGTTTCGGCTCCCAACTTTATGCCCGCGCATAGCGACCACGCTCCTGTCAGCCCCATGAAGGGATCCCCACGAAGACGTAAGGTGTTGGGAGCCTCCAAGAAGGGCGTCAGCTTCACGCCAGTGAAGACTAAGAAGAAGGGAGGAGTCCGATGGAGGGACGATGAGACGGAGGAGGGCACATTGGAGGACTTTTCGAAGACGCCCCAGAAGTACAATTCTTCCCCTGCGATTCCCTCACCTGAGAAGCCTATCGTCGCACCTATCATGCCTTCATACCTCGAGCCCGAGACATCGACTGTCGAAGAGTCAAGCCCCAGCCTCGAGATCCCGGAGACCACCAGCCTGGGCGCGAAGCCTAGCAGGTTCCAGGCCGGTTTCCTTTCCAAGGGACCTAGACATTCCCTTGCTGACGGATCACCCAAAGCACCCACCATGACCCTTAAGCTCGAGGCTTCACCCGATATTCAACGAACACCACCCCTGCGATCTCTGGATGTCACTAAGAGTGGCAATTTCTCACCATCGCCATCGGGGCTCGGTATTCCTAGAGCGATTAGACGACTTCCCACGATACATGATGAGAATAACCCCCCCGGATCTGGATCTGACTCCGAGACGAGTACTATCGATGCCCGAAAGCTTCAGACCGCCCTCCGAACCGCCATGAAGGAGAAGGCCCGCAGAGCGAGCATCATGGCCGGTACAACGGCATCAAGCACCAAGCGAGTATCGTCAATGGGATCGTTGCCCGAGCGTACGGGACCCAGGCCTAGTCTGCCTGCGGCCCTCGCTAGCAGCACCAACGGTATCTCTCGACTCCGCCGAGGTAGCGCTGAGAGGAGACGAAGCCCCCCGATGGCGTGCTCCCCAAACGACTTCAAGATAGACATGGCTCTGACACCTGGTCAAGCTAGACGCATGAACATGAACAACACAGTCACTCGAATGGAAGGTCCTGGATCAAGTCCTCAGGGTGGCATGGCGGGTAGTGCGCCGCGACGAATTACCATTGGTATGGGAAGTGGTACTGCTCATCGCCGACAGGACAGCAGAGGCTATACCTTGCGATGAGCGATTGGTAGATATGAGGAGGGTGAAACGTATGTGCACAGATTGAGAACGAGATTGCCTTGATGGCCTTGGATGGGTGCGTGCTTAATTGTTTATGAGCCCGGAGTTACGGCTACGGCGTTTGGGGCGTTGCATGATCTATGTAGATTGGTATGATATGGCATTCTTAGTGTATCAACACAACTTGAACATTGCTCTTTCGTCATTCCGCGTGAAGCTATCGCCGAAAAGTCTTGCATCAACAGGTCCGAGTGATGCAATTGGTGTCGGGTATTGGGACGGGCTGCTTACTCTCTTCCGAAAAAGCGATTAAGCATAAGCCATAGCGCCACACCGGATGTGGGGATGTTTTTTAGTGGTTGAGTGGCCTGTTAACGCCGAAATGTGGCGACGCTAACAGTCGGCGATAGTTGAAGATGTGCAGTCGGTGATAGAATGATGGTGTTGAGGACTTTGGGTCGGAGATAATGTCATCAAATGAATTGAAGAGATATTTGAGACTGAAAAAGTATATAAAGGAGTTGGATTTTCGTTTGAGGATGGATTCAACAACAATCATCAGTTGTCTTACAAGCTTCATTATAACAAGCCCTTCACACTTACACTAAAGCCATTTACACAAACCACTCTCACAACCTCAAAATGTCTTCCCCAGTCTGGTTCATCACAGCCGCATCCTCAGGCTTCGGCCATGATATCGCTCTTCACGCCCTCAACCTCGGGCACACCGTCATCGCCACAGCCCGCAGCACATCACGCGTCCAAGACCTCGCCGACGCAGGTGCACACACGCTCGCATTCGACGTGACATCTCCCCTTGCAGACCTCGAAGCCATCGCCAAAGAAGTATTTTCAAAGCACGGCCGCGTCGACTATCTCATCAACGCAGCTGGCTACATCCTCGACGGCGCCGTAGAGGAGGTATCCCAGCAGGAGATGTATGATTGCTTCAACACCAATATCTTTGGGATCTTCAACACCATCAAGGCGTTTCTACCAAGGATGCGAGAGCAGAGTATCGGCCAGAATGGAAAACGCGGTACAATCGCTACGTTTGGAAGTATCGCTTCTTGGAGAGGCGGCGCGACATACTCTGTCTACTGCATGGTGAAGACCTGCGTGTCCTCCCTCGCCGAGTCCCTCCGCTATGAACTCGAGCCCTTTAACATTGTCGCCACGGTCGTGGAGCCGGGTTACTTCCGCACTAGCTTCTTGAACCCTGGTGTGAGGGCGGTTACGAAGAAGAGGATGGATGTTTATGAAGATGAGAGCACGCCTACGGGAAAGACGAGAAAGGCGCTGGACAAGACGGATAATAACCAGCCTGGTGATGTTAAGAAGGGTACCAAGGTTATTGTTGAGATACTGACGGGCACGGGCGTTGGAGAGGGGAGGGATATTCCGATGAGGATTGTGCTGGGGAGTGATGCGGATGTTTATATTAGAAGTAAGTGTGAGGAGACGTTGGAGTTTTTGAATGAGTGGAAGGATGTCACTGTTAGTACTGATCATGAGAAGTAAGGATGAGGATGAAAAGGATGCTTCCTTAGGTAAACTTAGGATAAGTTTAGTGATCTTTAGAGTATTTACTCATATTCGGACCCTAAAACCCTAACTTGCGATTTTCCTTGGCTCAAGCCTCCAGCTCCCGTGTCCCGAAGTGGAATATCTTCATCGTATGTCTCGCTTGATCTTCAAGGAACGTTTCCCCCTCGTCGTCGGATGAGAACACATACTGCACTGCTTCTCGGTACCCGCCATTGTTGGGTCCCCGCACCATGACAACGCAATCCTCAGAAGTAAGGTCTGCAGGCGACCTTTGCTGATAGTATAAGTCAGGTCTATTGGCGATCGTTCCGATGATGAGGATGGCCTTGCCATATGTCTCGGAAAACTCCTCGGGAAGCCTCATTTTTGTGCGGCAATGCCAAACGAGCTCCCGCCAGTTCGAGTTCGGCCAGAAAGCGCATTGTACATCATCGGGGTCCATGGATGTGATGACGATATCTGAGACTGCAATCTGCACTATGACCGCGGGTATCCCTCGTTGTTTTATCCACGCGGCTTGTTTCCTGGCCAGGCTGTAGTCGGGAGTGAAGTAGTACATGCTCTTGGTTCTGCTGAAGTCGGTCGAAGGGGGGGTTGATAGGAGTTGGATTCTGTCAAGGTTGCCCTCGTGGTCAAAGAGGCCGTTGGTTCGTGCTTCGTCTATCGCTTTGTATAGCACAGTGCATCCTCTAATGCTTAATGGCCCTGCGAGTTTGTGTAGACCTCTGGAGGCTAAGCCACTACATTCGGTGTTAGCATGTTGCATATAATCTGAAGGGGGACAAGAGGCTTCAGACTCTAGTCTGAAGTAGTTAAAGAAGTGGATAATATCATCATAATTTAGGGCAATTTAGGTAAGCTTAGGATGAACTTACCCCAAGATTTGACTCTGCTTACCTTTGTTTTTTGGACCGGGTCGAAGTTCCCTGGTGCACAAGGGCTTTCTCACGCTCAGAAGAAGTTCGCTGGATTTCCTTGAGCCACTCATACCGGAGTTCCATGGTATTCCGAAGCCAGCCGATGCAAGTGTCTGTCAACCGCATGTCCTTGAATCGAGGATCCATTATGCTCTGCTGGAGCTCAGTTGCGATGCCGCACTGCTCCATGTGGCGGAACCAGGCCGAGTTGTCGTCCTCCCAGACGTCATACACTAGGGGATTCCCAGTATGGCTCTTCACCCAGTAAATGAACGAGACCTCAAGGGTGGTGGTGGAATCTCTGGGGTCAATCTCGCGAATCATGGAACCCGATGGCCAGTTGACCCAACAGCTCCAGATATCAGTCGCTTTGTCGCTGTTAAACCCGACATACTCAATCGTAGCTTTGGAGATGAGCTTCTCCGGGATAGTCGCAAATGCGTCCGGGCGGGATTCGACATTGGCGTTGAGAGGAATGTTCTTATGCACTGCATCGCTTGTACGATTGAGTCGGCGCTTGTGTATTTGGATAGAGCCATTAGGAGGGTTGGGAAGATTGACGAGGTCAAGTTTGATCAGCTGCGCTGCATCGCCAGGTGCGAGGATATTCCCGATGGAGCTGTTGCGAGTCATGGTCTGATTTGATGGGAAGGGCTGGCAATATTCGGTTGAGAGTGTAGAATGGAAGGATGGCGAGAGTGATATGACGAGGAAGCTGAGAGGTGATGCTGGAGAAAGTTTGGGAGGTTGAAGGTGGTGATGAAGTGGTTTGAGCCTGCCTTATTATATATGAAAGGTAAAGTGGGCCACTTCAGTGACTCCATTCGGGCAGCATTTAAGTTAAGTTGTTCTTTGACTTTAGTGTAGATACTGAAGAGACTTTGGCCTGCAAAGGTGTTATTCGTAGTAGGGATCTGTGGCTGAGGGCTCATGATTGCTGTACAGAACCTAGAGTCATAGATGAGGTAATTGGACCCTATTCTGGTGATATCATCTTGGTCACTGAGATATATTCTCGTGGTTGGCGTCTAAGTTCTGAGTGGTGCCTCAGCCACGAGTCTCAACAGGAAGGCTTTCAGTTACGTCTCGTTTTGCCACAAAGTCATTCAACTTTGTGCGGTATCGGGAAGGCCTCCTTTATTCAAGTGGCACTGAATATCATGATCATGGACTTGTAGGTGGATCTAAACCGCCTGAGACATGGAACTTCGTTCTGGTAAATTCACGAGGAACGAGGAACGAGGCTAGCTATTTCCCAGCCTACCGGCTAGAGTGATCTGTCTGTGATATTCACGATGAAGTTTACGGGCAAAGGTGGGAATGATAGGACGATACTCTGAGAAATTAATGACCAGTTCTTTACAGTTTCTTAGTAGAGTCGCGTGACTACAATCATTCGACAGCATACATACCCCACGTAAAGTCTGATAAGTGCTTGCTGCGACACCACAAACGCTATCAGCACGCCACATTGCCAGTTTTAGGAAGATATCTACGCTGACGTAGTGTTGCTTTGTCACTTGTGGCTTCATCCGCTGTAGGTAGAACAGACGCTGCTCAGAGTTTTGCCGTCTAGTCTACTCTGTATGCTGGAGCTTTGCCCTTCACAACATCGAAACACTACCGATGAGTCACGAGTTATTGTTTCACTGCTACTGTGGTCTGAATGTAACTTGAAATAGAATAAAGATCTGCCTATTCAAATATTGGTACGAGGGTTCTGCTTTGGAGGTCTTCCTCGCTTTCCTTTCCGACAGCCTTCGAAAATGTTGGCGATGGTCGGCAAGATCACAAGAAGAACGACCACAAATACATATGTACGACCTTTCACCAGCACAGTTATCTTTGAGTATGTGATTCCGGTATACGTCCTTTCGCCCATTACAATATCCACATCGACAGACATAAAATGCACCGGAATGTTTGCTATCTAGGTGTCGTTTTAAATCTCTTTCGTACTTGAAGGGCTTGATGCAGCATTTTTTGCAACGGAAAGATGTTCGCTCGGGATGTGTGGTGGTTCTGTGATTGCTGTTCGAGTGCAGAATATTTGTATTATCGCGAACTTGATTCATGTCTTGTGGCTTGGAACTTTCCGCACGAAGGGTACAAGGAGAGGAAAAAGAAGAAGAAGAGGAAAAGGAAATAGATGGGCTATCGTCGGAAGTAGCTGGGTGCGGAGAGATTGGATAGCTCGATAGTTCTGAATGTTGCCGGCGTGGAGGAGTTTCAGATGCCGCTTCATCGCGGGGCCTTTGATAAGAAAAGAATGATTTGAGCTGTAATAGAATAGCACCGTCCGGATCCTGCGGACTGACTACTTCCAATGGCTCATTGTGAGGTGGATATGAGTCGCAGTATGATTCTTGATGGATGTTTAAATGAATGTAATGTAAAGATGAAGTGCCGCCCAAGCCATGGGGATCGATCGTCTGCGGTAAAGCACGGCAAGGTGACGACAAGTCGTCAAGAGTTTCTTGAGGGGGGTTGACAAATAGACCCGGGTCCGAGAAGAGACATGGATTTAACCATATCTTTTCAACTTCAATATCGGTAAATAAATCTCGCGCATCATTTTGGTAGTATAAGCTGGAGTTGTAACTCAACCCGAGTCAAAGGCGAATGAAGGGGTAGCCATGACGACTACGAGACTCAGCACTTCAGTTGCGGAAGAATTGGATCCCTTGGGATTTCCTTTTGCAAAGAGAAGGCGGTCTTATTCCTCAGAATAGAGGTCAACGTATTGGTACCGTATTGATGAAGGCGGAGGGTGGGTGATTGTCTGAGGATCACAATTGCTTTGGCTGCCGCGAGGAGGGGTTCTTATGCTGATTTCAGGAGCTGGGACAGGGGAGCTGTACCGAGCGCTCCAGTACACCATCAGCGATATTTAGCGATTCTCTGATTTGTTGGTTGCTTAGGATTTGTCTGACCATGTAACATGGCTTGAAAAGCCGAACGAAGGCCATTTATGTGATTGGCGCAATCGAAAAGCAGGGCACTTTCCATGCACATCCAATCACATATATGGCCCTTGGTCATCTGTGAAAGACATTATGAGTCTAAAAGAATATCGCGATATCAGATTAGACAGTGTTGTGCGTGTAAGAGGGGTTCCCCGTCAGCGCCCCCCAGCATATAACAGCTATGCAGCCTCACTTTCAACCTGTTACGATGTGAATCAATTCAGTCGCAAAATCTAATCTGCGGAAGTAATGGAGGTGAGATAGCAAAATTCGTTCGGGTTCAAGCTGACCTTAACAGCAATATCAACAAACGGCCACTGGGACCGCTCGTCATGCATTGCAATTGCCTGAAGATGATCCTTGCAATAAGGACGTCAATATCATACTGGAAGACGATGACATAAAAGGTCCCACTGCAAAGATAGGAGCCTTGATCAGAAGAGAAAGACACGCTGATGTCTATTCTGTTCATCAATCTCGCAGTGGTATCAAAGACACAAGTTCCGAAGCTCGTGCTTTCATAGTCGATGGTGTCCCTGGAAAGTTGAAAAGACATCGGAAACGATGCATTCAACGTCTAGGGCCACGAACATGGCTAACTGCGGCATGCCGAGGAGCTAAAGTTGTTGCGTATCTTGTCAGCAAGAGTGACGACTGTAACAAAGTTGAGGGAGGAGACTCACTTGAGATCACTCGAAGATTACCAGGCTAGTCTCATGCGCACAGACTAAGAGTGATTGAAAGATCTAACTGACTAACAGTTGAGGATAATGAAGAAGAATATAAGCGGGAGGCCACACGAACACGGCAGTTAGACAAACGACGAGCGAATAGACAGAGAGCAACTCTAAAGAAAGGCCCAGAGGTTTCAACAGGCTCTCAAATTCTAGAACCGGCGATGGAAGATCAGGCACGGAAGGAGCCCGACCTCTCAAGCCAAGAAATTGCAATTAGGGCCTCTATCCTATTGTATATCTTCTATGACCACATAGGCAACTTTCGCTCAACCCAGGAGCCATACATCCCGGATGCCTGTAAACAGCCGCCACTTCTCAGTCTTATTTCTTCCTTGGTGCTTGCTCATCGTCAGGCGCATGTCTCAAGATGTAGCCGTCAGGATTCCCAGGAGGACTATGACAGGATTAAACAATTCGAGGAACTGGAGGAAGTACTGTCTCAGATGACGTATCGACAACTTTTCTCAGGCGTCCATTCGACTCTCTCAACCCTCTCGGCATTGGATCTTCGCTCGGTTCAGAGTACTAATCACCGGTTTGACATTATGCGGCATATACAAACTACTCTTCCAATTCTCACTCGAACTTCTCGATGCCGAAATACTTGAACATAGTCCTAAGAGCAAGTTTTACAGATTCTGAAGGGGGAACGGAGTCAAAACTACGCTGTACATCAATTTGTCAAATTGTGAGGGTCTATAATCCCTATAGTTAGCGCCGGTAGCTAATAACAACGCTCTTCGTAGGTAGTTATCGTCGAATCATGATGCAGCTTATGCGGTTTAGAGCGTAAATGATGTATGTAAGGAATTCCAAAAACACACTTTATTTCTCCATCTAGTAAGTAGTTATCTATGTAGAGAATCCCACCAAAGAAGTATGTTGAATCATCTTCCTCTGTCCCAAGAATTCCTGCGTTACAACATGGTTATGCATAAACATGTTTCCTTCGATCAGGAGCGTAAGAAGGATCGATGCTGATATCCCCGTGCAATAAGAAGCCCCTTGTTGAAACAAGGCTTCACACTTTCACGTAATGCCCTTTTTTCAAATTCCACGCCAAGCACTTGCGAAGGTGGAAGCGAACGTATCCACCTTGTGTCCAACCCTACGAAAATACAATAAACAAAGAACGAAAGTAGAAACTGTAAAACATCCAAGCATTGAGACAAATAGGAGATAGAAACAAGAGACCAACAACTTAACCAAGTTCTGTCGGCAGAATCAGCACAGGAATCAACTGCAAATAACACATATAGCTCATAACTTAGATTTACAAAACCCCGGATCTTAAGATGGTGGCTCCAACAAGACTAACGCAGTCTTGGTCAACAACATCCCAGCCGAACGAATGTCCTCAACTACACCAATAGAGTTGTAGTCACACCCCAAGCTGTATCAGCGCACTGGGGGGCCATTCAAAACGACGACTTAATGAGCCTTTCGCAATGAGATCACAATCCAATCCCACGACGAAAGGAAAAAAAAGGGGGAAAAAAGGAAAAAAAAAACAAAAAAAACAAAAAAAAACAGATAAAGTTTAAAAAGAAACAAATTTCAGTTTTGATTTTTTTTTTGTCTTTTTCCTCGCCGCTCACAAGCAATACTGTTCTGCTGTCAATACTGTGGAACTTTACAAGCAAGACAGTTCTACTGCGGAGGTCGAGACGCTGCATGACGAACGGGGGCTCAGTTCTCTCTGCTACTTAAGCTTTCAGCCACTTGGCTCAAGGCTATAGGCAGTCTGGCCCCGTTGAAAGGGAATAAACGAAGGGAGAAAGAAAACAACGCGAACCCATTGCCCAACAAAGGAAATCCAAGCAAAGATCATCGAATAAGTTCTCAAGGATTCGCGAAACATCGAAGCAACGAGCAAGGATAGTTCAAACCGAAGGGAAGTGGTACATAAAAGTGCAGGCGCTCAAGAATACTTCTTGTATGTACCGCTTGGGTGCAAACAAGTGACCACACGACGCAGCAAGGTCGTGCTGACGCCATTACCATTTATGTGCCACATTAACCTATAGGTCGGTCCCAGAATTTCAGATTCTTCCGCTGCTCATCTGGCGTTGGTTGTTTTTGGTGGCCTTCCCCTCCTTCTTTTACCACAGTTTTCGATGTGGTGTTTGTGTGCGCTAAGTTGTCGAACTGCATGACCGCATGAGCATCGATAAAGGCCGTGGCCAATGCAGTTGTTGTTTCCGAGGTGTTTGCAATATTTGTCTTTTCTTCCATAATGGCTGCCACAGCGACAAATGTACACAGCTCCTAAATGGAACTCAGTCAGATGTCGCTTCAAGGATCTACCGTCCTTGAAGGTCTTGTTGCAGCTTGCTCGACCGCAATGGAAGGGTCTCGAAGTAACATGAGACGAGACAAGATGGATACTGGTGCCTGTCAAATTCCGATCATGTAGTGTAGTACATGGGCACTTACTAGAGAGAATCCACGTCATTGTAAAACTGCCGACAGAAGTCACAGCTGATTTGAGCCGTATTGGAGGCAGGACTTGACGTGGAAGATTGAGGTGATGTCTTCTCATACCCACCTGATGCTGGGGAGATAGAAGTTGGAGCATCGCTGCTCGGAGAGGTGCACACGGGAGGGGGTAGGTCTAATTGTTGACAAGAAACCAAATCATGAGCAGTTAAAGAATGGAGATTGTTCTGGGACAAGTTTGCAGCTCCTTGCATAGGGTCAAGAAAAGCAGAGGGTTCAATGACGGGGGTCAAATGGCTATTTGATGCGTCCACGTTGAATACATCGTCTTGCGGTGCCAAGAATGTAGGGTCTGTATCGAGTGCTCCGACACAGTTATCGTGGTAATCACCAAAGTCAAAGAAACCAAGGGTATCGTTATTCTCAACACTAGGCAAGGGCCAAAATTCAGTCTCCCAATCGAAGTTGAAAAGCCATTGCGCATTGTCGATGTCGCTCGTCCAGGGTTCTAAATGATGATCATTGTGGTCCTCCGGAATAGGTGCAGCGCCAAGGCTATGCTTGGCGCGGACACCTGCCCGGAGAGTCTTAGTAGGCTGCTAAGTATCTGAACAGGAAGACGAGTATCGAAATTGTAAAGAGTTGAAGACGGTATCGTTAGCTAGGTACGAGTCGAAGCAAATGGTCCCGTCAACTGAGGACAAATAGTGTTGGGGAGAGTTCAGATTCCGGGGAAATGGCGAAAACCTGATTAAGTATCCGTAATCCATGCAGTGAGCTGAAAATCATCACTAGAGGTCATATGTGGCTCAGACCTGGGGCCAATTCTGTGATTCGCCAACAGTAAGCGGTACGTATATCCGACATGGGGCTGGAACCTGTGAGATATTCTTAAAGGGAGGTTTTCTCATTCGGATATTGGGATTGGAGGGCCATTTTCCTCATTCGCCAGTTTTGGGGCAAAGTTATGCATGTCCCGGAGGGTTGCGGAGGTCTGTCTCTTGACTGAGGCTCATGAATTCACCAATTAGAAATATGGCCCTACAGCCTCGTTCTGTACAAAAGGTCACCAACGATCTTTGTATATGCTCATTGAATCCACGAATCTGGAAAAAGGCCCTGACAGCATCTTGTACGGTTGAACCAATAACGAAACTGGCCCTGATGCTTTTGTTAGACGAAATAGTTGAGATATCTGACAGTTAGAAGGGGTTACAGAGAAGCATCCAATACGAAAAGTGGCCCATGATGAGCCTCAAGTTAAATTGATAACATAGCAAAACCTTTCGTCTGCCTAGTCTGTGTTCAAGGCAGCGTCAAAATGGATATATAAGATGAAACTCATCATAAGAGAACCTTTTCCCATGTCTTCAAGTGTCACAATAACATCCTGTTTATCAATCGAGACTGTCACTTCCTACTGGCATTTCTTCACTTGCCTTCAACAAAGCTTTCGACATGGCTTCTTCGCAGAACAGCGCCACTCCTGTAAAGAGAGAAACGGGACCAAGCTCACAGCCGAACCCAAAGGCACATGGAAGTAAAGAACAAGGTGAGCACCGTCCTACATGAAAATGGCACATATAAGTTCTAACACTGGCCTGGACTATATTATTTCACCGATCTCAGAATGGCTGCGCCAGAGTGAGGAAGATGAGCCGTGGAGGGGCTTCACGGTCATGGCCACGGATAGACAGAACTGGCAGAGTCATGATCACTCAGCTCGAAATCGTTCTCAGACTTGGAGTACACAAGCAGAGGCTGGGTCTCAAGGAGAGTCATCTAAAGGATAAATATGACAGCAGAGGGATCGAGGGTATTAGAATTCACATAGAGTATCACTGAAACCCTTGTCAAGGTCGGATGTTAAATACTTGGAAACCAATCCACTTTATTACTGTCTCTTGACTAGGAAACTCGGTCTGCCATTGATTTTGCAGAAGGGTAAATGATATGAAACACGGTGCTCCAAAAGTGAACCCAGGTCCACTTCTCTCCGGAAGCAAACAGGCTATACATGATCATAGATATGCCTCAAGCCAGGAGCCAAGATGCATAGAACTCTTCTTAAACCGCAGCGACACAGGCATAGGTGCCCTTCCACAAAGTTTTGCAATCTTCGCCAACAGCAGGATTCCACTGCGCAAACTGGGCCATAGTGATCCCGCAGTGGTGCAAAACCTCATGACACGTAGTCCCGGCACCGATGTAGTGAAACTTGACACAGTTCTTGACCAAACCCGCCTGGATTGGCGAAGGCGTCGCGACTCCGTTGTCGACTACTGGGTTGGGCTTGATGTCTCTCTTTAGAGGCGAAGTGTAGCCTTTGACTGAGACGCAAGCGTTGGTCCCCGCCCACATGTTGGTGCAGTCTTCTCCAACGGCAGGGTTCCATTTGACGAAGTCGGCAAGGGATATCTTGTAATGATCGAGAACGGCTTGGCAGGTGGTCGTGGGAGTAACGTAGTGGAATTTGTTACAGTTTCCTGTCATGCCTTTTTGAATGGGTTCTGGGGTTTGGATGCTGTTTCCAAAGCCGTCACCCGTAAGAGAGGGCTTCTCAGGGACAGTAGGCTTTACAGAAGGCTTGTAATCCGAGTTGGGGATCGAAACAGACTCTACATCAGAAGGAGTATCCGGCATCTTGTCGTATGCTGGCTCATCAGCCGACGTAGGCTTTGAAGTCTTGGTTTCAGTGCTGGCTGGTTCATCTTTGCCGAAGATTGGAGCATAACTTTGGCCGAGTTCAAGGCGCTGAATCCCGGTCTGAAGTACCCCAAGCTTGATCCCATCTGGAGTTACTGTGTCGAGGGGGCCAGCGGTAGAGATCTCGCATGCCTGGCCTGGTTCAGGATTTGTTTCGTATTTGCACTTGACATCTCGGCGATAAGGCGAGGCAAGTGCGTGAGGTAGTTGGAGGACGAGGCCCGCGGCGAGGAGTGTGGTGAGATACATGTTAGCTTGGAATATGGATGGGAAGGAGGATGAAGAAATGGGGGGACATTGATTCGTAATAACACACGTTCACTGATCCGAGTGACCCTTCTTATACTTTTGTACGGCCCGCAGCAAAAGAGTTACATTCTAGAGTTTCTGAGTTTCCTGAAGAGCATTTAGACCTTAGTGATTCGTCACAAATCATAAAAGAATGTCTAAATAGTGATTTGGGTGTGTTGTTTGTAGTTGAGGCTCGTGGCTGAGAGCTTACATACAATCGCGTCGCAGAACTCAACTTTATTACCCGCAGTATAAACTTGAAGTCCCCTCAAACTCGTCATAATTACGAATAGGCACTTTTGGTCTCGCCACTCTGTGTCTGCTGGCGATAAGACTTTCTGAATGATCATCGTGGTAGACGATAGTTCTTTTTTAGAGTTATGGGTTTACATGTGAACTTAAGTAAAAAGTTTCAGCCAACAGGAATTAGTCAGGCCGGAGAAATTATTTAATACCGGACCGAAGAGGAAAAACTAGAATTGACCTGAGTAAGGGGTTGTATTGTTTGAGATCGATACATCGTAGCTGATGCCTATCCTTTTCTGACCGAGTTACCAACCTCATACCACTCCCTCTACCCGTTTACCCCCATCATTTCTTAGATATTAGATTGTGATAACACGGGAGAGTTTAAACGTTTGCATCTGAAAGAGAGCTTAAGAATGGTGACTACTGTTGAAGGGCAACACACCTGGCACTCATGCTGACAGTCGTGGGATACCTCGCATGATCTTGATGGCTTTCTGCTTCCTCCATGCTTGAGATAGTAGCGAAATTCGGCAACGGAAAAGGATATCCTATGATGACCGGAAGTCTTTGTAAGTATTCCCGACTGATTGATCAACTGACATTTTTCACTCCTAAGGAATCCCGATGCTGATTTGAGGTAAATACTGGAGTTATGTGACTCTCGAGGATGCACTGACTTGAAGAGTAGGTATATTGTGGAGCCTGGCGCATAATGGTCCCAATCTGGGAAAACCCGTCATTTCTCGGGATTCGTTATGACGCCGACGGGCTTTCCGGGCTGTCAGCATAACGTGGAAGCATGGCAACAACGCTTATCAATTCAAGTTGTCCAAAATACATTCCTTGGGTATAAGAGATGCCAGACTCATAATTAATTAGCATTTACTACAAGTCCATTAAACCTATATTTGTAACCATATAAATAACAATATTTATTAAAAGCCATGTCGGAATACGGCTCTTCACAATTCCTCTCGCGCGGACTGAAGATCTTCGCCATTTTCTCCATGTTCACCGGAACAGTTGATCTGATTACCGGACATAAACTTGTTATACCCGAATCAGAGCGAGCTCTCCTCCCCGCCCCAACCCTCGCCTTCGTGGATAACCAGCTTCGCTTCTTGGGGGCAATATGGAGTGGATATGGAATGATACTCTGGTGGGCGAGCAACAATCCCCAGGCGAGAAAGATTCCCCTTTCTTTACTTGGAACCGTCATGTTCGTGGCTGGTCTCGGTCGCTTGACCTCAGGGTTGAGTTTGGGCTGGACTCCCTCGTGGCTCAAGATTGCTGCTGCTGCAGAGCTCGTGGTCCCTCCTTTGATCTACCTGTTTGGATTCTAAGTACGCAACGGAGCTCTTACAGAAATGCAGGCTCGCTGAGCCTCATCGCTTCTTAGGTGGCGTAGACTGAGCCAGAAACTGGCCCGATGGGAGAGTGCACGGGCATATCGATACGATTGCTATGGACGTTGCTGTTGTCACTGGAAGGTTGTTTAAGAAGAGAGATGGAATGGCCACTCTTTGACCTCAACTCAAAAGGAAAACGAATTATAAATAGATAAAATCCCCACTTATCCCAAGTTCCTGGAATGAAAGCCATATCCAGAATAGATTGCCGAGAGAAATACGCTTAATTAGTATGAAACACTGATATTTGTGCTTACGAGGAAAGAAATATCACAGTTGGGAGCTTGAGTTTGTCATACAGAATAGATCGAATAAAAGATAGAAGCTGTGTCCAAGAAAAGAACCTAAATAAGTACATACAATAGCCTTCCACATCTCCAAAGAGACATGATGGTTGGGTAGCAGAAATTTAATAGATAGCATCTCCCAGCTCATTTAAGAGGAGTACCCTTGCGGTAGTCGCAGCCCTTCACGTCGTCGAGGCCTCCGCAGCCACGTGAACTATCACGTTCAACAAAGACAGTATTCAAGTTGAAGAAGCATCGAGGAATCTCTCCCTGAACAAGGTTGCTAGTGTCAACTTCGTCACTGTCGCCCTTGTTCAGCGCGCAGTCGATCAGAGCCTTGTAGTAGGTCTCGCGATCACCCAGACCGAAGTCTGCCATCTTCTTGTAGATATCTTCATCAACTTCGGTCCACTCTCCAACGCCATTGGGGTCGGGGTCGTTTCGCATGATGTACCAGCAGTACTCCTCGCCATCACGGAGTGGCATCCAGTGTCGACCGGTGGTATCACCGCAATCCTCTTTAGAGTTCTTTTTGCCGAGCTTGTCGGCAACAAGATGAAGCTTGGACGCCTTCATAACATCGTTGGCGACCTTCTTCTGGATGTTGTTGGTGATGGAGCCCAGGGTCACGCGTACGGTTTCAACGTCGTCGTCGAGGAGGAACCAGCCGCCGTTGAAGAACTTGGCGATCTTGGTCTCGTATGTGTCCCACACAGGAGCGGGGAGAGAGTCGTACTCTGTCTTGTTTCCGCCTCCAGTAGCAATTCGGAGGGTATTCTCGAGCTTGACGGAGGCAGACTTGAAGAGGTCGGCAAGGCCGTCTGATATAGTAGCAGCGCCGTCATCCTCATCTTCGCCCAAGGAGAGGCCGGACATGATACCTGCCAAGATACCCATGCCGGCAGAAATACCATTGCCCTGTAATGGCTAGAGTCAGTCACGAGAAATTGGAAGCCGAAAGACAAAAACAACGTACCACTCCAGGGACAAGGCCACCTAGAGCATTGCCCATAGTCGCGGCTGCTGAAAGCCAGCCCCTCATATTGCCTCCCCCATTCTCGTTTCCGCTAAAATCCTTGAGCATCTGCCCGATCTTGAGGCCATTGATGAGAGTCTCAGTGGTCAACTGGCGGTGCAGCTCGGCGAATTTGCCATGCATGCCCTTGACAGCTTGGAACGTCCAGTACGAGTTCTTGCCTATAAATGTCTTGCCATACTTGTCGAACTGCTCCTCACAACCGATGCCGCCCATGGGGTTGCAGCTAGTTCCGATGAGGGAACAGCCACTAGCACCAGACTTGCCGTCAGTGCCCCCCATGACCTGATCCTCAAGATTCTTGAGCCAGCTATTCTCGTGCTCTGTGAAGATAACGGTCAGCATTTTATTTCATGCTTAGACTTGGTGAGAGGCCAAGCTACTTACCCCAGTGGCCTTTGATGAATAGCTCAAGGGAGACACCGGCAGCTGTGTCTTCCCAGAGCTTCTCGACGCCCTCGACGGTCGTCAAGTCCCAACCCTTGCAGAACTTTTGCTTGTCGTCGAAGACATCGCCCCGCTTCGAGAACAAGGGTGAACTCTCTGCCGCTGCGGCAAGAGCCAAAAGAGCAGTGGTCGTCTTCATGGTGAAACTGTTTTATGAGAGGTGGATTGACTTATGGGAAGGGATGGTGGACTGAGCCGATGAAGACTTGTCTCTCAGCTTTTCCACTGCGCAAGAGAGGGCATATATATATCTATCCTCCATGCTTCATGGCCTAGGCTTTTCGTCACCATGCTGAAATTAAGCCTTGAGCTTGGCAGCTGGCACATACGTTACTTGGCATCGCAACACCATTGCAGCTCTTTGGGTAGAATATGGGGGCCAGTGATGCACCAAAGATTGCAAAGGATTCCTGGCCCAAGCTTGCAGCGACTGTGATGATCTGATTGATCCCGGCGTGTAAGGTTAGAAGACGGCTGTTGAGGTGGGGGCAGAGTTTTATGGCGATCCATGGCATGGCTATCACAATCAACGCAGCCCCGGACCAGGCCAGGATCTGAATCCATAGCCAGGCACATTCCTTCTGAACACAAGGACTTAACATCTCTGATGTGAATCGCTTCGCTGCCAAGCTGGGCTGACTTACACTGTAATAGGCGTTCAGTGCGGGGGGGGAGCAGAGCCATGGTTAGTTACTAGCTGAAACCTGTTGATGAAAGTACAAGCAGTAGACATTGCTTCGTCATAGCTAAAGTTAAAACAAGTATAAACAGCCATAATCAGCCATTCCCAAGGCTTGCCAAGCTTGTTCTCCCGGGATCAGTACCTGGCCCCCAACCAGTAGGGGGAAACGGCTCAACTAGTCTTCCCGTCTATCCGCACCTTTAGTTCGGCGTTTACTAAATCGACCATGGGCCCCTGCATTGAAACATCGCCAAGAGCTTAAACAACCCCAAAAACTTTCTACTTGTCAATGATTTTCATCATGTTAGATCACGCGGGAGCATGGGACTGGCCGCTCCCCCAGATCATGACTCGCCAGCTCGCCAACGATGCCTTGCCAAGGTGGGGTCCGGCAGATGTAAGTAAGACGGAAGTCCCTGGAAGTTCATAAAAGCCCGAAGTTCTGACGTCCAGGGTTGCACTGAGTCTTACGCCAAGCCAATCCTTCACCCTTCAATTTGTTGATAATACTTGATACTGCATGATGTTGTTGATAGAAACCACCTGCATGCTCAGCCTCACTTGATGCACCTGTGCTCATTGACCTTTTGTAATTGTCAACTATGGAAGTCCGAAATAGTTCCATGCCAACCTAATAATAGGAATACAGCGGTTGCAAGACTTTATACTGGTTTCATAGGCTTGAGAAGGTCGATGGAGTTTGTTTCTCTGTCAAGACCAGTTTCCAGACTTTCCTAGTTCGGGTTGGGCCAAAGAGAACCACCATTGTTTCCATACTGACACTGCCTGTGATCATCACCCTGACAGCCACTGTCACATCCCAGATTACCCTGGTTGACACCATTGTTGTTACCGATCTGATTGACGTTGGCATATGCATAATTATGGTCGTAGTAAGTATCCGAGGCTCCTTGGCCCTGACCGGCGGGACAGTGCGTGTGAGTCTGATAGTTCGCGTATCCATTATGATAAGACATCAAAGGCTGGTACCAAATAGAATGGCATCCCGACTGAACATTGTTCCATTGGCATGTTCTGGTATCAGTCAGGCTGTGCGTCTCGCCCCAGGAGAACTCAAAAGATGCTTCAATGACTTCCTCGAACTTGAGGCTCAACCCGACAGTCCAGGTCTGAGAAACAGAGAAGCCGACTGCAATGGCTTCCGTGCACTGATTACAGTAGAAGCAGTTGCCAACTTGGTGCCAGGCTTGGTACCAGTAGCCCCATTCATTCTGATCCCACCACCGCTGGGTCTCACTTCTACAGAGTCGCGGGGTGTCTCTCTTCGTGAGGCCGCCGACTAATGCGGCAGATTCAGCGCGGACAGTATGGCCGGGCTTGTGCTTGACGCTCTTGACTTTGTTCTTATCACGGATGTCTTTCAGTTGCTCGCGGGTGTATTTGTTGCGGTGCACCTCGACCGTTCCGTCAGGATGAACGATCTCGCTGATGACATCGGAAGATGGTCCGCGAATCTTGAGGCAGATGGGGTCCGTGGTGCCTTCATAGCACTGGACATATGTAGCGTTCTCTGGAGGCTCGGTGTTGTCCAGTTTGATGGCCAGAGGCGTAGCATAGCCGACTGCCACAAAGGATAGAAGAAGAGTGTTGAGGAAATGCATGATTGTTGATAGTGCGGGACTGAAGCAGATGCTGTTTCTTGAGAATGAGCTGGAAAGTCTGACTGTTTGTAAGGACCAGTATCCTCTATATATACAAGCGGTAAACCGTGTATTCTTTGAGCTACATCTCGACAAGCATTCAAGCTTATCACGATAACATCAAAACTTTGCATTGCCTTCAATCCATAAGATGCCGCATACCCGTGAGATGCACATAGAAATTATATCTGTTAATGCCGTGTATCCGTAAGATAGAGCCATTGTAGGACTTGAAGATTCAGCCGCGGCGGCCGACTCTGGAGAGATAACTCGTAATTGGGTAGATGATGATTTATATTCCTCATTTGGGTGATTTAAAGCCTGACAAATCAGACGCTATCCGGTTGACAGCTGTTCCAGAATCAATCGAATAAGCGGCCCGCTCGCGGGTATTGGGGGCTGCATAATTAGTGGGCAATGTTTTCGTATTCAGCGAAGCTTGGCAGGGGTTGAGATAGGGTCATCGCTGTAGCCTTTAGTGTCTTACTGTTTAAAATGGAAGGTGTTATTCGCAGAGGATATCAGTTGAAGAACGAAACCAATGGCACCCATTGAATGACCTCTTCCAACAACAACTAACCACTGTATTCAGTTTAGTCATGCTGCCTAAGCATAGCCTCTCAGTATCAGTATCTACTACTTGCGTGTTGCAGTAGAAGACATTATTAGTATCCCTCAAGGAGCAAGAAAACAGATGCCCTTGATTAAGATATTGAAATAAACTTAGTAAAGAATTACTAAATATCCTAGAATTGCTAATTTATATATAGATATACCTAAGCTTTTTGTTGCTTAGGATCGAGGTTGAATTTTCTCTCCTCTTCTAGACACCTTAACTAACTACGTCTTTCTTTTTCTCCAATGATGTAAAGAGTCATCTGTACCATCAAGCCCCCGTTTAGGAGTCCTCATCTCCGGTTCCGGCCCCAAGGGCTGCTTTGTTGGTGTGATGCGCCCAGAGAGGTCTTTGAGCTGTTCGTCACACAGTATTTTCACCTCTTCCCATCCATCCTTTTTTTCATCCGAGCTGACAAGACCATTTATTTCTTGCAAAAGCGCGGCTGAGTTGGCTGGCTCAAGACCCTGAAGGGTTAGTCTCGCACCCAATGACTTTGGCGACTGCACCACCGGATTGTTTTCCATCTGCATGTTTATGATAAGTCGGGCTAGAGACAATGATGCCTTCTGCCGGATATTGCGATCATACGCAAAGTAATCACTTCGAAACGGCCGTACAATAGCGCGATACAATAAGGGGTATGTAGTCTGAAGAACCTTTCCATCCTTGTGACAACTCAATTGGTGACTATTTCTGTTCCTTGGACGCCACGTAGGCTGGCAATCTCCTAGCAATGCAAGGTCTGGATGACGAAAGAGTAAGCTATTCAAAGAGGTGCTGTTCTCGAAGACAAAACGGACGACGTTATCCATGCCCATCTCGATTGCCAGAGTGAAAGCCAACGAGAAGTCGTTGCAGTATCTGCGGCACTTTTTGTCGTGTTGTAAGTAGCGTGGAGCTCCCATCCATGGTGAGAGACTCAATTGTCCAAATATAAATTGGAGTCTTGACAGGAGATGTAGTGTGACTGCCGGTGAGCAACCCTCTGTATCTCCGAATACCAGAGGATATAACGTATTGAAGAAGATATAATCAGAATCCGAGGGTGTAGTGGCCATTCGACACCAAATCTCAGACAAAACTGCGTAGCTACCAAAGTTTGCGCGTTGAAGGTCTCTGAATAGGCGATTGTGGATTTCTGGCTGCAGCAACATATCATAAACAGTCCTGTGCATGAATTTGACAATGCAATCTTCAATGTTGCTCTCATCGTGATGACCGTAGTGGACTTCAAGCAGGCCGCAGCACCGACTTCTTAATCGGCCCTCCATGACCCGGCATTGGGCCTCCATTTCTGACAACGCGACATGTTTGGGTCTTACTCCTGATAGACTCGTATCCCTTCCGAGCCCGTTTTCGTGTGTCAAGTATAGGCCGAGTGTCGGAATGGGGTCGAATCCTTGGAACCCTTCATTTGTGTAGACGATATGCATGAGCTTCATAGCGTCTTGCTTCTACCTTGGATCGATGCTCTCAAGCATATGCTCGATGAGATCCTCAAGTTCCTTGGGCAATTCGTCAACTCTGGCCTCGAGCTCAGTTATGGTACAAAAGTCATCGCAACCTTCGACAACAGATCGGCAAGCAAGAATAACCCAAAGAAAGACGCCGGATGCCTTTTGTGCAAACTTTTGAGTGATTTCATCGACCGGGAAGTGAGACGCTGATCTAATATATGGATGGGAAGCCACGGTATCTTGAATATACATAGCGACATCGCGTTTCGTCAAGTCCTGTAGGTTCATCTTTGGCCTTTGTCCAAATGCGGTCATGAATGCTGGGTGCGGTCAACTCGACACTAGAATCTTGAGATTTGGGAACGATTCAAGCTCGCTGATGAATCTTGCAATATCGAGATCCTTTCCTTCATATTCATCGACACCATATATCAACAGAAATATCTTCTTGTCAGCATGGAGCGTTGAACAGAGAACATTCACAGCAGTGGCCATTTCGTCAATGGACGGGACCTCGAGTTCGGGAGAACTCTGATTGTAGCACGCTTCTCGCCACATGTGCGAAAGAGCGTGCTCAGTAGCACTTGGGTCATAATGCAAGATCTGATAGAGCAGGCTACGTAGGAGCCCAGATTGTGACTTTTGTTCCGGTTTCCCAAGGGCGTAGAAAAGAAGCTTGCCGAGATTAACTCTGAGCCATTGGCCCATGTTTGAAGGAGAGCTTGCGTTTTACCATGCTGATGAAGGTACTTCATCAGAGTCGACTTGCCACTTCCAGCCTTTCCAGAGAGCCAGTATAGACCAGACGCGCTCTGTAACCAAGTGTTGAGATCATCCCACTGAAGATATTCGCTGGGTGGGTCAAGAGCCCACTGTAGAGTTTTGAAGTGAGGACTCTTGATATTCATCCTTCGGTAGTCATACCAGCGGAACCAGAGGGAGCGGACAATTCGGGACGAGATGATTGCAGACTTAGCAGCCACAGCAGCCTCACTGACGCTCGGTCTCGTATTTGATGTTACTTCGATGACCAAGTCAAGTTCAGCAAGGTCTTTGATGTTGGACAAGTCATTTTTGGAGGCAGCTGCTTCTGACGACGTTGGAATAAGATTATTCAGGGATGTATTGAAATATGAGAGGTGGTCGATGAGCGAGTTGAACTTTTCCTTATCGACGGTGATCCAGCGGAACTGCTTGCTAACTTTAAAGCTACCGTGCCGGTCAGCGTCTGATTTGATTTTTAGCTCTTCAAACTGTTTGAGGAATTTCCTGAATCGAACTGAGCTGGCGCCTTGGTAGCCCGTAGTTGACTCGGCAGACTCATCGATTCGTTTGAGACCATAGTCTCTTTGTAGAGCCTGGCCTTCGCTCAACAGAGCTTTGATGCTTTTCAGCACACGTGAGATGAGTTGCCGAGTATCCGGATTGCATAACAGAGTGGAGTCTTGCTTCAACAGTCCGACCCGGTCAGACCACTGGAGGAAAAGCATCTTCTCAACATCGAGCTTCGTATCTAGAATGGCGGCATCTTTTCCCAGGTCACGAGCTGCTGTGATCATAGAAAAGAGGTCGACGCAGTGTTTGAATAAGCTGACTAGGGTCACGGCCCCGAGGGTAAGGCCGGTTACTTCCATTGCACCGTATAAATTGTTGCGCAAGAGTGAAAATGAACTCCGAGAGGCTGGGAATGCTAGATGAAAACAGCTGCTACGGCAGTAGAGTTGGAGGGAGATGATAGACAATTCCAATTGCCAGATTGAAATATCCAATCCCGAGTCACATGGCACAGCATCACTCGCATTGGATGCCTTTTCCAGAGGGAAGCATTGTGCAGGAAAACTGGACCTTTACCCTAAGTGACGAAAATAATAAGGTAAGTCTAGCCTGGACTTAGGGGACTCTTTGCTGAGTTTATTTAATTCTCATCTCAAGTCTTACTGTTTTCTTGGTCCCCCAAGGGCAGGCCAAAATGTTGACCAATAGGACATCCTCGCTTCGATCGAGACATTTGATCGTAAATGAACAAAAGACCTAGGTAAATTAGTTTGTCCTTATATATGATATTAAACTGATCACTTAAACTCCTATCTGATGACAAAGACTCCATCTTGATTGAATGCAACTGGCTGTCTGCACTCTGCACTCAGCTTGCCGTTTTGATACTGTTCGAATTCATGATCTTTGCAGTCTTTTCCTTCTTGTTGCTCTTCACCTTCCAAATACTAGATATGTCTAGACACATCCACTAAAATTCCCCCACCTCAGGTTATGGTTCTCCCATCCACTATCCCAAGCGAACCTTAACAGCTGGTAGCTAGAACTTCGCCAGAGCCGATATGTCCGCCATTGTCATTGCACCCATTGGCGAATCGGGCCTCGGTAACAGCAGGGCCTTCCCGCCCGTTGGTACAGCAGCCTGGCTGTTCAACCTGTTAGTTATCAAGTTCTTTATCTCGTAGATACCTTACTTACCCCGGCTTTGACCTGCCTGAAGCTGCCACCAGCAGCATTACATATGTTTGGGCTTGGGTTTAAGGCCCCGTTTGGCATACGACAGCCAAGAATACGTTGAGACAGGACTCCCATTGGGACGAGCAGTAAGAGGAGAGATTCGAGGTTCATGATCGCGATGCTTCTATGCTGGCCTGAAATACTGGAGAGAATGGTAGCATCTCGTTGCGCTTTATATACTTTGTCGTTAAAGGTAGTGGGCCTTATTATAATGGAGTAGAGTCGGTCACTCTTTCGTTTGCTCCATCTTTTTGCAATCCAGCCCACAGCCAGGGATTAGGCTCCAGTAGTACAAGCCAGGTATCTACACATACCTATCGTACGGTAGTGAGATGCTTTTCATTAGTCCTTTGATGGCGTTTTTACAACGTCGTTCTCAGACAATCAGTCAACGTGATTGATATGCCACAAATAACACAAGTCCATGCCATCTGTTAAAAGCCTTTTCTTCCAATTGTAACACAAAATTGACCTATGCGCCATCCGGAGCGGATCAACCAAGCCGCTGGGCAAATCCTCGAGTTTGGTCTCATGCCCTGTCTTCTTTCAATACGGCAACACTTCCGACCATCAAAGCTCGCGTAAATAACGGGTTCTAAACTGGTTCCGCTATAAATTACTCTCCTGGTGAATAAGCTCGAATGATTCCGTGTGCTATTGGTGGCATAATTTGAAGGATGAAGTTAGATTAGCGACAGTGCACGGCCGGCAGTTGCATTCATGCGTGATGCCGCTGTGGTGCAAACTTAAAGGGTGGTATTTTGGTTTCACTATGGATATCTCATTTCTCTCTCGTATTTAGACCTCAGGTGAATATGAACCGAACTTTATTTGCAACGATAGTGCGTAGTCTCCTTCATGATATCGGAAGAGCGGCAGGTTGGTTTCTACAAATGCAGCGCTTCTTTTCCTTATGGTTTTTCAGACTCGTATATGTGATGCAATGCTGGAGTATGGAATAGCAAGCAACAGCTTGGTTTTACTTACAAGCTAACAAGAATTGGCTTCAAAATGCACTTCTCAGGAATCATTCGAAAATTCCGAATAATTTGTTTCTCAATAGTCAGATTGCCAGCCCATCTAGCCGTGTCATAGCATATGATAAGGTTCTTCCTAGCACCGCGGCGGGCGGCGATAGCGTTACTTACATTTACCAAAGCAAAATAAGGCTTTTTAATGGAATTGTCTCATTTTATCTCATTAAGACAATGTAACTTCAAGTAAACTCACCCATAAGAGATAAAAGGTCCCAGTCCCCTCACCATATGTATTCCACTTACAAGCTACTATCCTTGGATTAACTTCATCTTTACACCATCGGCAAAAACATCGTCACTCGTTACCAATATGCATTTCAAGACCCTCTTTATCTTTGCTGGAAACCTGCTCCCGGTCCTTGGAGCAGCAACCAAGTCTTCCGCTTCAACCAAGGCCCCCGAGCCCCAGCAACCGGGCATTGTCTCCAACTGCAAGTCATACTACCTCGTACAGAAGGGTGAAACATGCTCCTCGGTAGCTACCAAGAACAAGATTTCTCTGTCCGACTTTCAGACGTGGAATCCCAAGACTGGCACTGATTGCAACGCCCTTCTGGCAAACGCATACGCCTGTGTTTCCGTCACCCCGACAAAGGGCTCAACTCCAGCGAAGAAATACTCCCCTACTGAAGCTGGCATCGCCAAGAACTGCGCCAAGTACGCTCTTGTTGGCAAGACCACGACCTGCAAGTCGATCGAGACGCAGAACAAACTTTCCTTTGCCAACTTTTACAAATGGAACCCCGCTGTTGGCAAGCACTGTCAGGGTCTCAAGAAGGGTTACTATGTTTGTGTTGGTGTTGAACAGGCTGTGACTCCGACACCGACCACTCCTGAGAATGTCAAGGGCAACAAAGCGCCTTCACCGGTTCAGAAGGGAATTAACAAGTCGTGCAACGAATACCACCGTGTTTCTAAGGGTGATACTTGTTATGCTGTTGCGCAAGAGTTCAAGATCGATCTGGATGAGTTTTATAAGTGGAATCCTGCTGTTGGATCAAAGTGTGAGAACCTTTGGGCCAATTACTACTACTGTGTTAGTGTTGCTGGCGAGAAGGCCAAAACTACTCCCTCTCTCAACTAGAGCGGTACGGTTGAGGGACCTCATTCAATGTTGCAATATCTGTTTTCAGTCACATAATAATAGTAATTAGCTACCGTCAGAATATGTAAGGGGGTGCATATGTTAAACTCTTTTCCCAGGAGGATTGTGTATTGACGGTCTATAATATGTACAAGACTTGTATCTACCTTATCTAGTGCATATCATTAAATCAAGTGTTGTCATTCATTATCTGTGTTCGCGGCCTAGAGCTTAACCTCATAGGCCGCGGTCATCCATAGTAATCATTAAATCAACATCCCAAGACCGAAGAGGGCTCCAGCCGTCAATGTCCAAGCCATAAACTGATGTCCGTTGGCCCCTGAAACACTGACTGGTGTGTATGGTGCCTCTCCAGCTTCCGATGAACCACTGTGTGTGGACTTGGGTGCCGAAATCTCCTCGGTAACACTTGCTTTGGTAGTGAAGATCGTTGGGACGCCTGACTGACCCTGCTGAGTAGCAGAGGACGGTGAAGGATTCACTGAGGCCCCAGGGTGGTATCCAGAGATGGCTGTCTGGGTAGCACCACCTTGTGTCGGTTGAGGCTTGCCATTGTTGTGCTCTGATGAGCCTTGACCTGGAACAGAAGGCTGCTTATCGCCCTGTCCTGGCTGAGAGCTTCCCTGTGATTCTGCAGCTGGTGCAGGAACATGAGTCTGGCCGGCCTGGTAGCCGGATTGAGAGTTACCTGGTGATCCCTTCGTAGGCTGTACCACAGGATAACTGTGGCCACTAGCATCAACCTGATAACCTCCAATGCACCCAGCAGGCGCTGTAATAACTGGAGGTACATAGCTTCCACTGTTGCCGCCAACAGTGACATATGTTGTAATAGTAGCTGTCTCGGTAACTACACCAGTGCTGCAAGTGACATGCTCGGTTACAGTCAGGCAAACAGTCCAGACGTTGTAGGGAGTGGGGTAAGGCGTTGGTTGATGATCTCCAGAAGTTGTCTTGATGACAGTGACACCAGAAGTCTTGGAGCCAACCTTCGTGGTTCCAGAGGACGAAGAACCGGACGAAGAAGCTCCCTGGCTATAGGTTGCATAGGTTTGAGCATAAGTCTGAGTCACTGTAGTACCTGAAGAGACAGGTAGAGAGGACCCAGCTTGGCTTGTGACAGGGCTTGACTGGGATGTTGATAGAGAAGCCTGACTTTCACTCGTCGTCAAAGAAGATTGCGATAAAGCAGTTGAAGTAGCTGAGGGAGCAGAAGTAGAAACCCCAGATGATTGATCGGTGGTGCTGGAGAAACTCTGGCCGTCGGTGGATGAGGTCGTGGGCTGTACCTCGGATCCTGTTGCTGTAGATGTCACCACAGCAGTCGAGGTCTCAAGGGATGAAGTCTCATCATCGCAGTCATCAGTTGATGTTTCAACACTGGTACTGGTGGAGACTGAGTCTGTCGCCGCAGTAGTAGCTGTGGTGGACTGTGCAGAGGTTAAGGTCTCTGATGTAGATGACAAAGATGCTGAGGATAGCGATGACGACTCTGGCGTCGTTGATGTCTCTGATGTTGTGGCTTCAGTTGACGCAGTGGTGTCAGTTGTCGCAGCAGCTTCCGTCGAACTAGCCTCTGTGCTTTCGGCCTCTGACGTGGTAGTAGCTCCTGATGTAGTGCGTTCTGTCGAAGTAGCCTCTGTAGTAGTAGCTTCTGATGTAGTACCCTCAGTCGAAGTGGCCTCAGCCGAAGTAGTATCCGTAGTAGCAGCCTCTGATGTAGTAGCAGCCTCTGACGATGTAGCAACCTCTGATGTCGTAGCCTCCGTCGAAGTAGCCTCAGTTGATGCCGCAGTTGTAGTCTCTACAGCTCCCTTGATAGCAAGATCGTTTCCAGTAAACGACCTAGTCCCCTGGTAGGTGCTGATCAAAGCACAGTCACCGCTTCCGTCTAAAAACAATGCAACAGCACAATTGGTGTCAGAATCACATCGATCCACGCAATCTTGGAAAAAATCCCCTACAGAATAATAGGCAAAGATTTGCCCGTTGACTGTAGTAGTATCGCATAGGATATCGAACTTGTTGTTGTTGGGACCGGTGTAAATACTGCCAGACATTTGACTGCAAGTTAAAGATGCTAGTACACCTGGGAGAAGGGACAGGTTCAGAGCCCAGAAGGCCCCGAGGCGTTTTGAAGGTTGCATGTTAAGAAGAAAGATATAACAACGTTACGATGTTTCGAGCACTAGAGGGGGGAGGGAAAGTGGATGACCTCAGAGTCTTCTTATAGAGAGGATGGAGGCCTTTTTTCAACTGCTCTATTGATTTCTTAGCACAGCTCGCTTCTTTTAAGCTGCATAAGCTTGCAGCGATTCGCAGCTAGGCAGGGGTCGGCCAGCGCACGATGAGCTGTTGAAGCAGAGCAAGGCATATTGAATTAATTTCCTTTTTAAGCTTGTGGTATAGATCCATGCAGCTCAAATGGAGCTATTGGATGCTAGCTGGCCTATTGATGCCACTAAGACGGATACGATATGCGCTATTGATTCCCACCGGAGGCCCGCGAGCATCTAGACCAAAGAAAAAAACAACAAGCTTCAATAGACCCCTTTTGAGGCGACATTTTTTATTTTACGAGACTTTACTTATGCGTACATGCTCCTCTTAAATCGTTTCTGTTTATCGTATTCCCACAGTCGTTGACCCAACACACTCGCTCAGGATGATTCCACGAACGTACATTGCCGCTTTTATAACAGCTTGTTTAGTGGGTGCCTCTCAAAGCTGGCCCCTGTAAACCTAGCTCCAGAACAACTGAAAGCTCCATCGCGAGTGTTACTTCGACCACAGTCGGCTCCACAACTGCATCCAGCTTCGTCGACACCACTACGGTCGCGGCCTCTTCCACTTTGACCTCAGATGAAGAATCGAGCACCATAGTTACGGAATCCATCAGCAGCGCAGAGACGTCTCTCGACCCCGAGGAAACGTCAACCACTGCCTTGTCGACCACCGAAGCCACAACGACCGAGATTGCTACGACAACTGAAGCTGCTACTACTACCGACACAACGACTACATCGGAAGCCCCATCGGCTGTGCCCTTCCTCAGCAATGCTGGATTCGATGATTACGCTTCATCCCTCGCGCCCTGGGAACTCCAAACCGGCGAGAATACCGTATCCATTGCCTCAGACGTCAAACATGATGGACGCAATTCCGCTCTCATGGTCCAAGGAATGAGGGGTACCGTAGACTACATCAGGCAGCCGCTCCGGGGTTCCATTACTGCTGGTGTTGCATATACCATGTCCGCTTGGGTCAAAGCAGATATGTTTTGCCCTGGTGTCGCGCTCATCTGCACATATCAAACCAACAATTTCGATGATCCAGAGGGTATCCTTCTTACCTCGCATGTGGACGAGTGGACGCATGTTTCTTCGACTTGCACTTATACACAGGAGCAGGTTGATTCTGGGGGTTTGTATTTCATGATAGGGTTTATTTGTTCTGGGAACCAGGGTCGAGGCTATATAGATACTGTGGACTTTTCGGCTTGAGAAGCTGAGTAGGAAAGGAAAGGAATCAACCTCAATTATCACGCTTCAGACAAAGACTGTCATCCTGGGGGAACCTGTATGTCACTTTGCAATCGAGTTTGGATGCTGACATATACGTCAACCGAGACTTGAGTCCCATTGGATAAGCTGTGGTGGAGACACCGCTGCGCCTGTGTTTGTAAGCACGATCATCACCTCCGATAGCTTACATGTTGGCTGTACGATAGAAGATGATGTAGGCTGATTAATTGGTTATCGCGAGATGTGAATGAGCGCATTATATAAGTAGTTTAATCCCTTTTCTGTAGATTTCACTAAACCAGATCAGAAACAAGAACCATCACAAACCTCCTCAAGAATACTTTGACCTTGTATTATTACTCTTTGACAAGATGGTGGACCATAAAGAAATACTCCGACCAGTACGTCACTGATTGATACATCTTCGCGAATGACTAACACAAGTAAAGAAGTATAGTTTCGATGATATCCCATCCCTAGCAGGCAAAGTCGCCCTCGTCACAGGAGCCAAGTAAGTATCCCAGCGCTTCCAGCAACATAGCAACTAACAGCCTTTGAGTACTCCAGATGGTGTCGGTTATCACATTGCACATCAACTCGCCCTCAAGGGAGCAAAAGTCTACATCGGCACCCGCAATCTACAAAAAGCAACAAAAGCTATTAGAACCATGCTTGCCGAATCACCAGAGCTAAAACCCGAATCTCTCGTTCCATTTGCGGTTGACATGGGAAATTTCAAACAAGTCCAATTCGCTGCGAGAAAAGTCGTCGCAGAAGAGCCTCGGCTTGATATCCTGGTCAACAACGCTGCTGTTCTCGCTAGACCTCTTGATAAAGATGGAAATGGCATCTCGGTTTCTTTTGGCATTAATCATCTGGGCCCTTTTCTTCTGACTAGGGAGTTGTTACCGCTGCTTAATAAGACTCAGGCTGAACATCCTGGTGTGCGGATTGTGAATGTTGCTTCGACGGCTCACTACGATGTTCCGACGGGTGCAAAGTTTGGATCGCTGGAGGACTTTAATACTACTTACGGGAGTGAGGATGAATCATCCGCTAATTATCTTCGATATGGCTACTCCAAACTCGCAAGCATTTTGCACACTAAAGAGCTTCAGCGTCGTTTTGACCAGCAAGGCATTGATATTCTTGCACTCAGTGTCCATCCTGGAGGAGTTGCAACGAATGGAGCGGCAGGATACCTTGGAGGTAGAGATAACGACATCTTCCGATCGAACCTCTCACCTTTCGAGGGTGCCATTACACCTCTATTTGCCGCTGCTCATCCGGAACCAGCTCGACAGAGAGATAAGTATGCTGGGTCGTTTATCATGCCGTTCGGTGGACTGAAAGAACCAACTGAGGACGCGAATAACGTCGAGTTGGCGAAACAACTCTGGACAACGTCTGAGAAGGTGGTCAGTAGTGTGTTGGACTGTTTCATTTGGGATAGCATATTGATGCCAATGGGGGGCATTTTCAATATTGGGCAAAAACCATAGATACTCGTTTTTACGATTTCTCAAAGGTTGTGATTTTCTTAATAGACTATTTTATTGGACCGTCTGAACATATCACTATTTAAACCAAATTGAAGAGCAATCTAGCTGAAGAACGTCTCCCAAACGAACTCCACTAACATTATCCCGATAGATAATGGATCTTTCCACTAAGTGACCATTTCACTATCAGCTCTTGGCAGCCGTGGTCCTCAACTAAACCTGCACTATCAGAGCTTTAATGGCTCATCCTACCAAACTCATGCAGTATAACCGCTTGGCATTGCCCTCTACGTTCAAATGACGTAAACAACACCTGACTCTCAGACATTTCCTAACATGGCAACTATAGCCACCAAGCAAGACACCTCTTCTCCACAAAGCAATGACGCTGATCTCTGGGGTTTCCCCAAAGTCCCCGGAAATAGTGAAATGGTTCGGTTAAATGAGGAAAAGTGGTTCCTGGAATCATCAGTGAATATAAACTTGCAATCTTCCATGATGATCTGCATGTCTTCTCTCATTCATTTCCCTCTGTTCTTTTTTACGAGTTATTAAAGGATTATGTCATAATGAGAACTTGGTTCGGTCGTGGCAAGAAACTGCAGCGCGCGGTAACATCATGCTGTCTCTGCGCTTTTGTTCTTTACGGCTATGATCAAGGTGTCTTTGGAGGCATTCTCGAGAACGAGGATTGGATGCGACAGTTTAATGATCCTGGCGATACTTTGACTGGATTCATTACCTCAAGCTATAATCTGGGCTGTTTGTTGGGGTGTTTTAAGAATTTCTTTGTTGGTGAGAAGCTTGGTAGGAGGTGGACTATTTGGGTGGCCATGGGTTGGATCCTTGTTGGGGCTGCGTTGCAAGCAACTGCATTTACACGAGGACATCTCATCGTGGGGCGGGTTGTAACTGGTTTTGGCACCGGTCTCAAGACCTCTACTGTCCCCATGTAAGTTGGAGCATTGACATTTTCCGGAATTATAACTAATTGCTTAGGTATCAATCCGAACTTTGTGAGGGTACAAAGCGTGGTCGTCTCGTCTCGGCAGAAGTCATGTTCGTTGGTATCGGCATCGCCTTCGCATACTGGTGGGATTTTGCCTTTAGCTTCGTCGGTGGGCCCTTCGCATGGCGATGGCCTCTCGCTTTTCAAGCTGTCTTTGCATTCTGGGTCATCTTTGTGGTGTTTGGTGTACCGGAGTCGCCTCGTTGGTTGCTCAATCATGGAAAGAGACAAGAGGCCGTCGAAGTGCTGTCAGCAGTCTATGATAAATCAATTGACCATCCTGATATTCAGCGAGAGGTTCAGTCAATCGAGGCGGCTTTATCGATGGAAGCCGAAGCAGAGGGAAGTGCTTCTTGGGCTTCGACCTTTAGGAAGGATAAGGTCAGCACGAGATACCGAGTCTTCCTTGCTTGGTTCGTGCAGTTTATGAACCAGGCTGGTGGCATCAACCTGGTCGTTTACTACATCTTAAGTAAGTTCTATATCCTATTGCAATAACTGGAATGCTAATGCCTCCAGCTGTTCTGACCGCCAACGTCGGGCTGGAACACAGGCTGGCCCAGATCATCGCCGGCTGTATCCAGCTGATGTTTCCCATCGGATCCTTACTCCCTACGCTAGCTTTGGACAAGATGGGTCGTCGGTCTACCATGATGTGGGGATCTGCTGGGCTGTCTTTCTCGATGATGATGGTAGCCGCACTCTTATCTCAGGCAGATGATACATCACGAGGTCGAGCATTTGCTGCTGGATCAGTAGCTTTCTTCTTTACATACATGCTTGTGTTTGGTGCCAGCATGAACTGCGTTCCGTGGGTTTACGTCCCCGAAATCCTCCCTCTTCATGCTCGAACCAAGGGGACTGCCATTGGCGTCAGTTCCAACTGGCTTTGGAATTTTACAGTAGTAAGTCTCAGTAATCAACAACTTTCTCTGTTTATATATAGCTGACGATTCAAAGGTCATGATTACTCCCATCCTCATCAATCGTCTTCAGTGGAAGGCATATTTAATCTTTATGGCCACCAACCTCATTTTCGTTCCGATCATCTTCTTTTTATACCCCGAGACATCTAACCTAGCTCTTGAAGAAGTTGACTACATCTTTGCTCGTGGCGAGAATACTGTTCAAGTGGCTAGGGAGATGCAGAAAGAACTTGCTCTTCATGGACGCCTGGCGGATGATAGATATCCTGAGAACGCAACAAAGGTGGAAAGTAAGCCGCATAAGAGGGGTGATGAATTTGTTGAGCATGCACCTGCTTGAATTCTAGATATCTAGTAGGTATACAAGAAGAGTCTTGGGCTGTTTGTGTTATGAGACAACTTGACCATCAGGCAGTGACCCAAGTAGTTAGAAACATTGAAGCCTAAAGATTAAATGAAGATTACAAATTTGAACGCGATTTTGAAACCCATCATACGATATCTTAGGATAGCCTGAGCAGTGATCGAAGAGTATTCAATGCTCGGCACTAAACTCAGCGGTGAGCACTGAATAATTAAGGGTGAGCTAGTCAAGGCCCCTGAAGAGTCAAATTCAGGCTACTTCATAGTATCCATGCATTTCGTAGGCTAATCGGATGTCGGCACTGACTATTGAACTGCCGGGATAATTAAGCTTTGACATGAGACGACGAACAGGTATAATTTGTATGCGCCGGACGACACGGACTTCAACACGAGCGAGATGAACCATAAGAAGCCTAAAAATGGGTGTATCTCGTATTTTATATATATTAAACTTTCCAGGAACCCTGTGGTTGGAGAATAGGTATATTGGAGGGTGAAAGCCGAGTATATATTGTTCATTGTCTCGATGGCATTACTACTTTTATTCCAAGCTGACATTCAGAACAGAAACAGGATTTGCCTTGTTCTACTAGAAATCTGCGGCAGAGGTTAGTACTTATAGAATCCCGTCATTCGTTCAGCCAGCCAAAATACTAAACTCCAGCAGCTCATCCATCCATCTCTACCCATCATGTTCGCCCAAGCCATCCTCCTCATCGCCTTCGCGTCCAACGCATTCGGCACACCCTACGTAGTCACTAATCCCAAGGACCTCCACAGCACCTGGTCCAGCGACGACTTCGGCGCCACACCCGCTCCCGATGGCCACTCCATCAAGTGGTCATTCACCGTAAAAGGACACAACGGTGTTCCAGACCCAGGAAACTTTGCAGCTTATTGCCACGGCTTGCAGGTGGTTTCGGACGACCTCGATCTCACGGGCAAGCCTGCCTTTGAGCGCTGCAACGACACCGCGTACGAGGCTCGCCAGTACTTTTCTGGGCAGCTCACTACCGTCGAGGTTCGTCGCACGGATTATCCTGATCTTGGGAAGGAGGTGCAGATTTCTGCTACGGCGAATTATAGCTCGACCAACGATAACATTGTTGGTGCGTACTTGAAGTTTGGCAATTTCCAGACAAAGTTCATTTCTACGCCTATTCAGGATTAGAAATTGGTTATCGAATGATTAGTCCATGGTTTGTCTGTGGAGCGTCATTTCTTGTATATCTGTGAGACGATGAATCTATAACTTATAACCTGCAACGTGACCGTCTTCGTGATTGTATAGGCAAATGCTGTTTCTGGTGCAAGGTGATGGCCAATTCCACTATCAACGTAATATCGATTGATGCCACTGAGTATTGAATACTTGACTATTTAAGCGTAGGCTTTGAGATACCCTAAGTGCCGTCCCTCACTACTCAGAGCAGTCTCAATTAAGACCCAAGGTCGCAAGAATTATAATTCCCGGCATTCACTCCGAGGATCGCTTATTAAGAACCTTCCCCAACCCACTAGTTACCCCTCCCTCTTCCGCCTTCGGATAAGGCACCATGTTTCGGAAAACTATCTCGCAATTAACTCAAAGTGACTTCTCTTTTCAAATTCACCTTTGCTAGCTAGAACACCCTCTCATCCTTGAACCAAGTTCGCAGCAATGACTACTTATCACATTCGTGACGTTGATAACCGAGTGAAGGGGCGTCTCGCTCTTGTAACCGGAGCCAGGTACGACATACACCTTGATGATATGGTCCATTCAATGCTAATTATTCTCAGTGGTGGAATTGGTTCAGCTATTGCCAGAGGTCTTGCAGCAGAAGGCTGCGATGTCGTACTCCACTGCAACGCCAGTCTGGTGAGTTGCTCAAACCAACAAAATGTCTCTTACTAAACTAAACCACGTTTCCAGCATAAAGTCGATGCCTTGTCTAAAGAGCTAACGTCAGCTCACCCCGATCAACTCTTTCCCTGTGTATCAGCCGATCTCAGTTCTCGCGACGAAACCCGCGGCTTGGTCGACAAGGTCTTTCAAGACTCTAGCATATCTGCCAAGCACAAAGCAGTGTCTATTCTCGTTGCAAATGCTGGTCTTGGCAGACGTATTCGAGATATCCAGAATATCGAAGAAGATGACTGGGACTCGGTTATGGAAGTCAATGCAAGGAGTCAGTTTGTAGTGGTCAAAGCCTGCTTGCCTGCTATGAGGGCGCAAAGCTGGGGTCGTGTGATTCTGGTCGGAAGTATTGCGAGTACGGGTGGCGGTATTAATGGGTGTCATTATGCGGCAACCAAGGGAGCTCTTAGGTGAGATTTTGATGATTATGACACTATGTACGAGAACTGACTTCCCAAAGCTCGATGGGCAAGAATCTTTCAACTGTCTTGGCCGGCGAGGGAGTTACAGTTAACACTGTAAGTCTAAACAAGTTGTCCACCCACAGATACTAACAGAAGGTCCAGATTCTCCCGGCGATGATTGGTTTTACAGACATGATTCCAACGCCAAAAGAAACGTGAGTGTTCTCTACAGTCGGAAGGTTCCTGTCAATAAGCTGACCCGAGACTTCAGAACATGGACAAGAAAGACCGATCTGGAGGAACTCAAAGAAACAGATCCAGGCCTAGCCATTGCAGCAAGCGTTCCCGTCCGCCGGTTGGGTCATCCTACAGAGGTTGCCAACATCGCTGTTATGTAAGTACACTCTCTATCATTTTGTATAAGGTCTAACGTTCCGAAGGATGGCAAAAACTGGATATCTCACAGGGCAAGATATCATCTTGTCTGGTGGTTTGAAGTAAACTCATGGTTTCTCAAGGCTCTCTGCGTATAACTTGATTAGTTCAGCTGCGACAAAGGCCAAAAAGAACATACAACACCGGGGATTCGCTGGTCGTCACCGACCCAACTACTAATCCAGCGCTTCGCAGCTTGACTATGGGAGAGCGGACGGGATCCCGTATTTTCTACGAGCTTTGGTCGTATGTATCATAGGCTACTCCA